CGGGTCGAACCGGGTCGGTTTTTATGATCTGCAAATATATACTTCGGAGTTTGGGTGTTTTCTATATAATTAGGGTTCCGTACCTCAAAAGTTAAAAAAAGAAACCCTTATAAGATCACTTTCTTGTCCGTCTGTCCGTGTGTTACCACCGATTTTCTCAGGAACGGGTAGACCTAGCAAGTTGAAATTTATACCAGTTACTGAGGTATATGGTTCCTATTAGGTGTATAAAAATCAAGGTCCTGAGTCAACACGATAAAAAGATATGGGCAAATTTATATTTTCGTGAAAACTTGTAAGTACCAAAATTTACCTCAAATTTCTTCAATTTTTTTTTATTTTATTTCTCTTTGCTTATGCTATAAGACCTTGCTTTTAACCAAAATTGTCAATTCTAGGTCAACCGGAAGTACCCTATAGGATTTGGATCGATAACCTATATAGTAGTTCCCGTTGATCTAGAATCACGAAATTTGACAAAAACAAACGTCTTACAGCACAAATAAAGGAATAATTCTAAAAACTAAAAAAAATTGTCAATTAAGATAAATTTTGGTACTTACAAATTTTCGCGAAAATCTACGTAAAATCTTTGTAGGTACGGAACCCTCGGCGAACGAGTTCTACTCTTACGTGACCGGTTTTTTTTTTTCACACTTCTCACGCACTTATGTATGCATTAAAAAAAGTATGTAAGTAATCTAACCTCCTTTCTAAGGAGAGGCTTATGTCCAGCAGTGGACTATTAAAGGCTGTTGATGATGATGAATCTAACAGTCAATCTAGCTTTCTAGCTCTGCTTAGTTTGAAACTAAATGGCGTTGTGTGTCAGATTTTCCAAAAAATTTTTTTTTGTGCACAAAGACATTTACTTAAATGTTATGTGTGTACGCCTACGAGTAAAATAACTTTAGTGTTTCTAATAATGTAAATTATGTACGTTATTAACGTAACTTTTTACTTCTTGAGGTTACGATAACAATATGAGTGGGAATTCATTTTCATAATACAGCCATTAATTTTAATTATTTTTAGTTTTAATAATTTTGCGTTGAATGAAATTGCCAGCTTCTTATCTATGATAATGACCGTAAGCTAAAAATCAGTTTTTACAGCTTTTTTTATTCAGTTATTTTTGGGCCTTACGAGTTATTACAGAAATCCAGTTATCAATATCTGATAAAATAGTAGGTACTGCAGGTTTAATACTTATGCAGGGTTGATATACCTAATGATATAAACATAATCACCTACTAATCTGTAATCTGTTGCAATTAGTAGCTACAGAGTAACTATATCGGAATTAGTATTGTGCACAATACTAATACAATCTGCACATACCACCCACAATATTCGTGTTATCAAATAAGTATCAGTTGATTTAAATAGTAGAAACATGTTGGTATGAACTGTCAAAACTTTTTAGCGTTTTGGTAAAACAGTAAATTTTATATTTCTGCAGTATATACAGTACTGATAGGATAACTAAATGGCAACCACTGTCCTACGAGCCCTAATATCAAAATCTTTTTTATTCGAATTCGATTTTATTGACATGAAAAAAAAACAACTTTTAACCCTCACCTGTACCATTATTACTAAAGTAAATGACTAACGTATTATATTTTTTTAATTACTGGCGCTCCTATTCCTTTGGGAGACCTATCTCCCAAAGGAATAGGAGCGCCAGTAAAAAGCCAGCCGCCGGTTTTTTATGGGTACTGCGTATTCGGTTACCATCAGACGCGACTCATGACCGTAATATTATTAGTTAGTCTAAACTATTGCTGCCGACCGTGAGTGGATATTTATTCTTAAGCACCAAAGTAAACTAAAGTATCTCTGACGTCATAAGTTTCAGCACACATGAACTAATGCTGTTTGATTAAAGTTATTTACCATTTAAACAACAATTACGGTAATTACCCGTTATTATCTGCCGTATTCTTTACTTAGTTAGAATATTGCATTTTAAATTAAACTATTAAATGCAATATCTGCAAGGACAAACATGGTTCTTGGTATAATAAATACATATCAATGTACCTTTTTGATATTCATATTTAGAGAATAAATATTTTTCTCCATATCTAAATATCGTAACCATTATGTCTGTGTCTCATTTAGTCTGTCGTCGTAACTTAACTGATTACCTTAATATACAATCATAACTACATACTTGTAGTTGCAAATTACAGTTTCCTTTAATTAGTGTAACAATTGGCACACTCACTGCCAGAGAGCTGACAGCTTTAGCAATCATTTGCTTAGCATGACGGAAAATAATTGCAAACTACTTAATAGGTATTGTGATGATGCTTATCAATTATTGTCTTCTTCCCCGTTGTTACAGAGCTCCTTTTTTTTGAACCAACTAATATATTTTAAGAGTTTTCCTGTGTATTATCTAATTTAAGTCTGTCTACCTATATATATAAAAACGTCAGTTTATACCCACCAAAAAAATATACTTTCGTATTTTAACAAAATGAAAAATTTTGAGCTAAATGTATTTTTTAAATTATGTACTTAAAAACGCCAGGATTTGTGTTGAAGTACATAAAGAAGTCTCTTTGTAATAGTTATTCTTTCTAATAGTAGCCCCTAAAAGATACCTATTAAAAGTCCTTTTTGAAAGCTATGTTATTTAAAAATAAGTAGGACCTACCTGTAGGATGAGGCCACTGAAATACCAGTATATCACTTATCTACAATGTTATCTTTGGTGATTCACAAGCAACGAATTCTAAGAATCCAGAACTTTTTCGGAGAATAACGTGTGTTAGTTTTGTGATTTCTCCATATGTTCCTTTGGTCACACAAGTATGAGTACTAGGATATTTAGTTTGTAAAAATAAGCAACTTTCTAATTGAACAATGCCATGAACTTTTATATGAAATGTAAGTCGGTAGTTTTTTTAAATACGTTTAGATACATATGTGATTTAGCGATTTTAGTATAAGTGTGTAATACATCACAGTGCTCAGTTGCAACTACTGACCACTAGACCCATAAAATTGTTAAATTAAGATTAGTTTACGCGTCGTTGGCAATGCTCGCCGAGTTCCAGTTACTATGTATCGTCACAGTTATTTTTTTTCGCATGATATCACTCAAACTGACAGACTATTGCTACACTTACAAAATCAGACCTAACAAGCGATTCACTTATAATCGCCTATCGAAAATGTTTCAAATCACGTAGGTCTCACATAATTACAATTTCATATAATGTTCCGCTGGCCACACAAGCTTTAATAAAAGTAGTTTATTTCGTTTTTAATAGTTAGTTTTTACATTATTTTGAAACAGTCATGATTTTGCGATTGTTATCACAATATAATTAAAATTACGTAGTTTTAACCTTGTAAAGAATTTTTTCCGTGCTACTTTCTTTGGCAGGTGTTTTTGACATTTGATATTGCAATAGAGATAGAATCCTTTCAAGGAAGAGGCAGTGTATTTTGTTTTTACATATACTTGAAATTGTAGTGTTGCAACAAAAGTGGTAAATTCTATTGCCTGTAAATCCAAAATGATAAAGTAAGTCAAAATGGGTTCCACCGAGAGCTATGTTTTGCAAAATAAGTACAGTAAGTTTCCACTACAATATATTTTGTATCCTTGAGAAAAGCTACTAATAATATATATTATCACCCAATTAACCACAGCTATAAGTTTCAATGTAACCCCTAATTAATATTCTGTAACATTATGGTAAATTTATATGATGCATGTTTTACAACTTTTAATGCAAAATGTATTATTGGGTTTTACTAAGTTCGAAAATAAATCTAAAACACACAAGCATATTCCTTATAATTGTTTGTAATGATTTCAAATATTTCTTCACTAACTTTTCTACTAAAACTAAAACTTTCTAGTAACGTTTTTCTTTTTTTAATGACTGTCTAATGTCACACAGTCCCGGTACTTCCACAGTCATAAATCTCATACTAATGACTAGAACATCTAGTTAGTTGTAAGTCTGTGTTTATATATAATATATTATAGGTACATACGCGAAGAAAATTCTTTGTACCACTTTTCTAAGCAATCGAAGTAAAGAAAGAAAAAGTCGGAGAAAGAAGTAAGTGGGAAGCATTACTTTCTTTCGCGATTGCTTGACACTGAGGTATAGAAAGTCCTACAAATTTTCCATTAGTATTTGCTTAGATGTAGCCGATTTACCAAACAAGGATAAATACACTTTTTTAAATTGAAATCGCAGTTTTTTAGGTTCCGAAACTGCTTAAAGTTATGGAGTAACTAAAAGATGAAGATTTGATTAACTAATAGTAATTAAATTATATTAGCAGTCATTGCTATAAGTATGTTTTTATCTAGGAAATTATATACAGATCAATTTCTCTCAGCTCAGCATTCTGGTGCCAGTTTCCATAGTTATTTAATCACGGAATCAGATGTACAAGATCGTAGTTATCATAACATGCGTTATATCGTCGAATCATAATATTTATCCTATTTTATACTCGGGTTACTGTAATATAAGTATTCGTGAGACTTATTTATCGTCAAAGTAAGTAAGGTGGCAATATTATACTCCTACCTTTTAATAGCTGTCCGTGTGGTGACGAATTAAGAGTACCCACCCCTATTCATCCCGTAGGAGTCGTAAGAGCCCACTAAGGGAGCAAAATCTGCAGAACAATAGCACTGTATAGAGAAGGAAAACTTGAAACAAACCCTATACCAACCCGTCTGGCTTGCGTGGTATATATCTCCTTTCCAAGGAGAGGCCCTCGTCCAGCAGTGGCCTATTAAAGGCTGTTGATGATAATAATTTTATAACGATACCTACCCCAAATAAGTTGGAGTGTCTAGAAAGGTTACTTAACAGATGGAATCTAATAAATGTGGGGTTTTAAAAAAGTTTCACTTGATGTACTTTTTCCATTAAAATATTTCTAAGCCTCCGAGTGCAATTGTTTGTTTCATGTTCAATTTAAATTTTATGGTTTGTTCATCTTTGTTTCAGGGGAGCCGGTTAAATACGATCCAGATTTCAACGGCCCGCTCCACAATCGATCATGCACAGACGTTTTTTGGTTAATACTTTTCATTGTTTTCCTCGGAGTGTGGGCGTTTGTAGGTTATTATGGTGAGTATCATAACGAGGTAACGCAAATATGAAATCTAAAGATTGACTTACAAGTGGATGGGATACAAGTGCTCTTTATCTTAAAGGTTACTACAGTTAGTGAATTGTGACTAAATATCTATTTTATTCATTCACATTGTGAGGTTACATCAAGATCACATACATTTGTTTATCATCAAAACTAATAACAACTATAATAAGCAATTATAGGTGTACTGAAATACTTCCTTTATTAAAATTAAAGCCCCTCCGCCCGCTTGTACCTAATTCGGTAAACGCGGTAAAAATGGATGTACAACTAAGCAAACTTTTGACCTAAATTTTCTAACGACCTAAGATTTGCATACCCTTAAACCTTCCTGTAGAGAAGATCCTCCCCTTCTACGTTGCAATGGTATTCAAGTAAGTTTATGCGGTATTCTATATGCAAGTTTCATTGTAGGAGTACACCATGGAAATATACAGAAACTATTAGCTCCGGTTGATTCCAACGGAACACGATGTGGTCTTGATTCGGGATTCGAAGAAAGAAAGTATCTCGTTTTTTTCGACATCCAAGAATGTCTGTCACCATCAACTCCCATTACTGGTTGTCCCACACCACAGGTATATATTATTTCCTAGTAAATTATATTTTACATAAGTAACAACAAACAACAAATGCTGATTTCATTTCATGTACATATATTGGATGAAAATTGTTTAGACTTTAGAAGGTAAGCCGGTGAATTTTTAACATTTTTAACGAAGAAGCTTACTTAATTATGAAAAAATAAAACATAGTAACAGAAGCGACTAATTAGATGAAGGCCATGTTTAAGGCAATATGAGACATCATATACATGTGTCACGATATTCGTTACGTTTCAGGTGTGCGTTAAAGAGTGTCCAACAGCAACAATAAATTTTAAACACTTGACAGAAAGTGAATTTAAAATATATAAATCTAGTATGGTGTGCAAGTATGATGTTCCTATGACTAACATGATTCTATCTGACGCGCTTCGTTACATAGACGAAAGGAGGTGTGCCGGTAGTGTTTTGAAAAGTCAGCCAGGTAAATTTATTTAGTTACTGCCCGTTTATATTTATCGCTATTATACTAGCAGGTACTCGTGTGATCTCGAAATTCCTCCCTTGTTTAATCTTAGACGTATTAGTTAACTTTAACTTACAACAGACGTACAGTTAAACCCTACACTTCAGCATTATTCCGTTGCATCGGCGACCTGTCATCTCTGCGATGCAAGGGAGACATGAAAACCGCTTCGCAAGATGCGAGCTGCTTGCTGAACCCAAGCGAGGCACGAAGTTCTCTGGTGAACAAGGCTACAGCTCTTGACTCGTATATTGGCTGGTTTGTCGCCAGCTGTATGACTTTTTTCACAAGTACGAGGGACGAGCGGGATACTCAAATTGTACGTAGCAGTAAGCATGTATAGAAATTAAACTGTCCTGTAACACCTTTTTTACTTACATGCATGCGCACCTCTGAGACTGGTTGTAACCATTCTATTTTAACTTTCACATCGAATACATATAAAAACTCAATACAAAACTGCTTAGATATATGCTTTAATAATGCCTATGAATTGTTCATCTTCTACATAATGGTCGAAGCAGTGCTGGGAAGGTGCATGGCGGGTTTGAATGAGTTGAAGTCATTGATCAACTCACTAAACATTACACACTTGGACACTGAAAAGGCGCTCGAAAGGTTCACAGCATTAATACAGCTCAATCAGGTAGTTAATTTTCATTATTTACGGACGCGAAAAAATAATTACACGCGTACGTAACTTTAAAAAACAGGTTAGATATCGATATTACCTCGTGTTTTACACGCAATCTATTCTGCACGCACTATAGTAGCTTTCGTTAACTCATATAAAATAGATTATTGTCCTTTCTTGCAAAACATTATGAATATTAAAATTTTCTAATTCATGCATGGTAGAAATAAGAGAGATGTTTATATTGTAAGTTTCACCTTAACCTTCTTAATAACTAAGGCACGTAAGCATTAATAACATGCATGATGGGATGGGTGGTTATGGGTCCTAAAAAACTTGGTGTACGACAAAATTAACAGTTATTAGGTCATATGTACTGTTTACTTGAAACACTTTGTGTCTTACCTATATTACTTTATCGTCATCGATATGTGAGCGTAAGATGCACTGATAGTTTTATTCGTTATTTAATTACCTGCGGCGCGGCGTATGTAAATAATATAAAATTATAAACATTCGCAGCAATGGCTCCGTAGCTAAATCCACGATTGAATTCGTGGATTTAGCTACCTATACAAATGGGGTCTTTATGAAGACAATTGAAGCCAAAACTTTTTTCTGTCTGTCTCTATGTTTGTAAGGCATCACGCAAAAACTACACTATGAATCTTGATGAGGTTTTCACAATTGTAACTCTGGCAGTTTAACTTAAAATTTGGTGCATGTTGCTTTTATATATCTTGATACCATATTTTATCAATAAGTTGATCGATCGTACACTAAACATGATGTTGTGGCGACAGCTGTCGGGGCAAATAGTTCACGACCTGGTGGAGTCGCGCTGGTTCTTACTGGGCGCCCTCATAGTCGTCATCTGCATCTGCTTTATATACATTCTGCTGCTGCGGTGGGTCGTGGGTCCTGTGGTTTGGATTTCATTAGTTGGAGTACTGGGACTACTTTTATTTTGTAAGTACCTATGATATATTTTTTTGATGTACTAATATTTTACCAAAATTTCTACTCAATTGATTGATGTCATTACAGGTACGTACTTGTGCTATAAGAATTACGTGTACTATCGCGAAAATGTAACACTACACCAGACGACAAATTTGAAAGGTTACGTCCAGTCATTCCTTACCAAAAGTGAAACCTGGATGGCATTAGTTGTGATTCTGGCTATAATAGTGGTCATTCTCCTACTAATAGTGATATTTTTAAGATCGAGGATCAATGTTGCTGTAGCTCTTATACGCGAAGGAAGCAAGTAAGTCTATTTGCATTACTAATGTTACTTAAAATTTAACTTTGTAGATGGCGGTTGGATGAGATACTGTAAAATAACTAGAAGCTTAACTTTTATCTCTACTAGAATATAATACCTAACGATTATTAATTTAATTACAAAATTTATCGATTATTTAAAACTCCCTCCTATATGTACCTACTATGCTTCATTTAAAATACTTTATCGAAAATTCAAACCTAAGACTGACGCTTTAAAAAAAAACAACCAATGGAAATCCCCATACAAATTAATGTACCTATTACGATAATAATATAGAACTCTGGGTTTTTTATGTTTAAATTGAGTATTGTATTCAAAGGATTTTGAAATTAATTATGCATAAAAGAGACACAAAACGACATGCCTGTAGTAGGGACAGTATAATATAGCTTGCCTGTTTATTTACAAAGCTTTTGTTATTGATTACAATTGAAATACGGGTTACTGACCGATATAATGACTAAAATATCATACGAGCTCAAATGTAGCAATGCATATACCTATACCTGTATTTACCATATGTGAGGTGTACGTGTTATTGCGTTATTATTAATCTAGGTATACCTGTAGGTAGTCGCCTTGACAATTACAGGATATTGAAACCATTATGAAAACGAACTTGTTATTTTCCTTTTCAAACAAATTATTTTACCAACTAAATAATAACATTTTTTTTTTTCAATTTACCTTATTTGAATAGACATGTTCTCTTTCAGAGCCGTTACAGCAATAAAGTCAACAGTATTCTTTCCTATAATACCGTGGATCATTCAATGTTTCGTGATTGGTTATGGAGCGTTGGTGCTTATGTACTTGCTGTCCATGGGGGAGAATGTCTTCATAGCCGTATTAAACAACGACACGAACTGTCCCTTCACAAGTGATTTCAAGGTACTAAGAAGTATGAAATATTACACTGCACAGGTGGCGCAATGGTTAAAGAGATTGGCTAGCCACTATGCCACACCATGTGTTGCGGATTTGATTCCCACATGGGATAAAATTACATGTATATTCTACATATGTTTGCTCTTTGTTTGAATGTTTATAAATAACCGTTATTATAATCATATCTTTGAAATATTTTACTCCTTAATATCAAGTGCCGGTATTAGTAGCGTCTAATCTTTTTTGTATTATAATTCCAGGACGGTATGAGCTGCAATCCTGCAACCTTTCAAGCAGGCGTCATGGCTGCTCAATTATTAAACCCTGAGCATTGTAGAAAGGTTGTGTGCCATTTCACCGGCCTAGACGGCCCCACAAGTGTAGTGTGGTTGCATTGTAAGTAACTTGTGTGTGTAACTTTTTATGTGAGAAGAATGTATGTTCATATTGGAAAAGATTTTTTCGAGATTGGAAAATGAAACATGTTGAGAAAAAGTAGTGAACTTTATATCGGATTAAAGTCATACAAATAACACAAGTAAAAATTAGGCTCACTTCTAGTATTAAATCACTGTCTAATTATTAGATTATTTGTAAGAGATGCAGAATGCTATTGAGTTTTTTATTAATTATGTGAGTGAATGATTTTGTTCTATAAATCGCTGTGTATTTATGCAGTTCTCTCTCTTCTTCTTCTCTCTCTCTCTTTTTTACAAACCGACTTTTTCTCTTTTTTACAAAACTTTGGCGACCGAATGGCGTAGTGGTTTGTGTAACGGCCTGCTATTCCAAAGGTCGCGGGTTCGATTCCCGCTCAAGTCAAACATTTGTGGGAATGAACATTTAATGTTTGATTTGGTCTGGGTGTTTCTGTGTATAATAAGTATGTATTTACAAAAAAAAAAATATTATATCAGTTGTCTAGTACCCATAGTACAAGCTCTGCTTAGTTTGGGACTAGATGGCGTTGTGTGAATGTGGTAGAATATTATTATTTTTTACTCGTTTAAAATTATAAACTGAATACGTACCTATAATTTTTTTGTAAATGATTAAACGTTCCTAAAAATTAATAAAGAAAATATTATTCTTGTCTGAAAATTTTATCTTAAATATCTCTAAAATATTAAATATCTCTGAAATATTTATATATCTCCAATATTTAGCATCGAATAAGTTGACTACTTGCATTTACATTCGTTACAAATTGTGAACTATTTATATAGGTAGATAAATAAGTTTCTGCGGAACCTTCATGACGCAAAACACATCTGGCACCGTATAAGTGATTTTTGCCATAATAAACAAAAATAAAATGAATATTATGCATAATACAACTTAAAGTTGCCTTGTTCTTCAGTGGCTAACCTGCTGGGTTTTTTCTGGACAATGTTCTTCGTTGGTGGTTTGTCAGACATGATGCTCGCAAGCACTTTCTCCACCTGGTATTGGACACGCAGGAAAAGTGATCTACCCTTTTTCACCCTGACCGCTGGTGTATATAGAACAATACGGTAAGACATATTTTAACCAAATAATAGTTGCCAGGCATACACACAGACACAGACATACATATATGGTACACACATACAGTATAGAAACAGTTAAAGACTTGCCATCTGCTGAAGTTCGGACAAAGTTTGACACGAATCTCGCATTCTATACAGTTATCAGCCCTGTTAAATACTGTGAGGAAGAATCCGAAAAGGAACCAAAGAACCAGACGCTATTATAAGTTTATTTAATCTTTGGATTCGCTGGCAGTGGACAGTCTTAAACAAATATCCATTACGTCAGGCAACCTTTATAACAACCGCATAACAGATTATAATTGGACTTAATTTTTCTAAAGTCCACCAAGTTTTAAAATGCAATGGTTATTCGCAGATAAATATGTTGCCTGCCTCTTCTGACGGGGCTGTTGGTCTAGTGGTTAGTGACCCTGACTGCGTAGCCGGAGTCGCGGGTTCGATTCCCACCCAAGACAAATAATTATGTGTAGATGCACGATAATTTGTTCTGTGTCTAGGTGTAATTTATCTATGATATGTAGGTATTTAGAAATATTTAAGTATGTTTATCGGCAGTCTGGTTACCATAACACAGGCTTTGCCTAGTTTGGAACCAGACGTCCGTATGTGAGATGTGTGAAGATATTATTATTACTATTATGCTAATATCTTATTAATGTTACAGGTATCATCCAGGAACAGTTGCTTTCGGATCATTAATCATCGCCATTGTGCGAGTGATTCGTGTTATCCTCGAGTACATTGATCAAAAACTTAAGAAATTTGACAATCCCTTCACTAGATGTATTATGTGTTTCTGCAAATGTTTTTGCTGGTGCTTGGAGAACTTCTTAAAGTTCATAAGCAAAAACGCTTATATCATGTGTGCGGTTTATGGATATAACTTCTGTAAAAGTGCTAGAGAAGCGTTTTCATTGCTTATGAGGAATATTGTGAGAACTGTCGTATTAGACAAGGTATGAGAATACCTAATAAATATTTTGATATAAATTAAAAATTATAGAGAATATGGGATTATAGAATTCTCTGAATATATAATTTAGTTCTTCTCGAAGAAACCTAATTGCCAATTCAGAAAAGTTCTTTTAAAACCAACCTTTTAAAGAGTTCTCTAGCTCTAGAGTTTTCATTGACTTTTAATTAATAAGAAGTATTTGAAAGTAATACTTAGATACCTACGAATTTTAAATTTAAGAAAATTATTTACGGTTTAGTACACAAGAGCTACACCTATCTAAGTACATAAATGTTGAAAAAGTAGCGTATTAACATTTACATTATTAAATCAAGCTGTAGAAGCCAAGTATATCAAGTATGTAGGTATATTAAGCTACAGTCTCACCAGACTCGGTTTGTGTACGTTTCAGGTAACAGATTTCATATTCTTCCTATCGAAGTTACTAATATCTATCGGAGTGGGTGTCGCGACGTACTACCTGCTCGAATCAAAGTTCCTGCACAACATTACTAAAATGCAGATGCTGCATTACAATTACATTCCCGCCACTATATTGAGTATAGCTACCTACCTCATTTGTACGATATACTTTAAAGTGTACGAAATGGCTGTAGATACTTTATTCTTATGTTTCCGTAAGTATCTCGTTCTATTTATAAGTTAAGTTAGGTAATAGCTATTTGTAACGATACTATACGGCCACGACGACCAGATTATCTTAAGAACTGGTTGTGGCCATCTAGTTCTCGAGGTCCCTAGGAAGTACTAATTGCAGACTTTCTTTTCTCTTTTTTCTATTATATTATCGAAGGGTCGGTACTTATATGGACTTTTTATATATTCATTTGGGATACCGTTAGGTACCTGAGATTTGTTTTACATAAGAAGCATCCTATCGTCAACGTCAATGTAATGTTACTATTAGAGGCAATTACGATATGAAAGTAAGATACTTAGTCCGTCCATAAATTCTTTAAGTGTATATTGGCGAAATTATGAAGCCCATCAAAAGTTGAAGTCATATCACATCAACAGCCTTTACTAGTCCACTGCTGGACATAGGCCAAAACCCGTCTGGCCAGCGTGGTATAGTAGGCCAAAACCAGAGGCCAGAGGCCTATGAAGTCATATAAGATTTATAAACGAATGTAGTGTTCTAACTTTCTTCACCATTTGCACTCACTTGCAGACTATTCTCTCAGTAGTAAAATCTACATACGTACCTACCTTGGTCTCGAAAACAACAATTCCTTTAAACACAATGTTGAAGTTAGTTTCAGAAGGTTTTACTTTTGCACGTTTATGATATGTATGTAGTGTGTGGTAAGAATAAAAATATTGTCTAGCCTAATTATTAATTTCTGTTATATATTTTACAGTTGAAGACTGCGAAAGAAATGATGGCTCACCGGAGAAACCATACTTCATGTCGAAAAACCTGATGAGAATTCTTGGAAAGAAAAACAAGAAATTTGATTAAGAATTTGTGCCAAAAAGTTTTCGGAATCAGAGTTGTGAAACCATATGGATTTTTACATAATTTGTGTCAAAATGTCATTTGTACTCTAAATTTCAACTTTTATAGAATTTTTTACTATACTTGGTATTTTTAAAAATCTTATCTTGTACTTTTTGATAATATTGTACCTAAGTTTATGGTAATATATAACCAAAACTAATTTTGTTATTGATATTGAAAAGATATTCTAAAATCTAAACTAGAAGCATCCTTCACTTCATAAATAAATACCACCCAGACACAGAATAAATTTATGTACCTACCAAGAAATATTTAAGTAGGTACATAATAGAACAGGCTATGCCTAGTTTGAGATCCAACTGCCATGTGTGAAGTTTTTATTATTAATATTAAATGATCGTGCTCATCACACAATTAAAATAATTGCATTAAATATTAGGTACATTTAAGATCTCTCTGTTATACATCTTTAGTCGCTTCAATTTTTTTCCAAGTAACTATACCACCATATTCACAATAATATTATCTTTAATTAGCATAAAATTAATCAATAACCAACTCAATAGCTTTTAATACAAAAAAGTAAGCCTTAACGTTTACACATTCTTTAGGACGTATACTTTCGATTGATGTAATTTCTTTGATAAGCAAACCAAATAATAAAAAAAATCAAGAGCATATTTGTAATGCACCCTCATGATCTTAATACTTTTCGTTATGTAGTTGATAAAAATATATTTTAACCGGAAAGCCGATGGATGAGATCGAATTCGGATCCTGTACTAATAAATGTGAGGCGAAGTTTTTAGCATTAGTACCTTATGATACCTATAGATGCTGAGTTTTAAACATAAATCAAAGATTTTTCAACTTTATTATAATTAAGAAATTTGTGATATTGCAAATTATAATATTATAAGATAAAACAAAAATATAAAAATAAATTATATAGAAATACTTTTATAGTTCATTTATTTCGGATGTAAAATAATATTAAACCAAGGTTTTGATATTTGTGCTGTCAAATTTTGCTTTCTTGCCAAATGTGTTGACTCCAGACCTCAATGGGCAGTACCATAGGTACCCTTTTTTCCTGTGTAACCCTGGTGGTACAGTTGAAGATAAATTTTAACCGCTGTTCGCCTGGCCGCAAAACCCGACAAAATTAAACATGTTATATTGACACAGTAAGTATATACCTGTTACAAGTATATTACAACATTAACATGATGTCTACTTTAGACAATATCTAAATATTTCGACATTTTCACTATTTTTATTATTATCAATATAATAATTAATTAATTTAATAATAATTATTAATTAATTTAATTATTAGATAATTAATTTATTTATAATTGTTAATTCACTTAATAATTATTATTAATTAATTTAATAATTAAAGTATTTAATTAATTAATTTAATTTTTTTTTTTTTTTGTTTCCCCATTTAAGTTTTGATATACCTGAGAAATGTTCTAATTTCTTAGTCTAAGATTTAAATGATGATAATATGAAATGACTTTCAATTGTGTTGCTTTTATTTTCACCGTTTTAGGGGACAGTTGTGGTCCACATATGATTTGATGTAATCTCAAATTGATACCTTAATAGACATGCAACTGTATGAGTTAATTTTTTTGTTTTGAGCAACGGAACCCTAAATTCAATAGTTATATAGGGAAGGCAGATAATTTTACACACAGACAGTTATCAGCATATATTAGCAGCAAGTTTTATCAGAAAAAAAACCTTTTTTGGATTTTTAACTAATTCTAATAAATTGTAGGCCTAACCTGCTCGGAATTACTTGATATCGTATTTTTTAATTACTTTGGGTAATTAGAGACAAAGTTTGTAGTCACTCTTGATATCTAGTGCTCTGTAACTTTCATTCAAATGAGTTTTAAGCTCGACACTCAACTTGTATTATCAGTTAGTCGCCACATACTGTGCACCATAATACGCACAAAGTTAGTTAGTATGATGTAGTATGATTTAATTATATTTTTTATTATTATACATGTCATACTTGCTTACATACTTTGGGTATTATATTATCAATCCTTAGATTTTTCATATACTCCCTGTCTATTAATATGTACATATTTCATTTGTTTTAAAAATATCTGATTTATTTGAAATTTAATTTCTCTACTATATAACTTCATACAAATCATATATAAAGAAATAAGTCTTTATATATGATTCGTAAAAAGTTATATGCAAAATAAATTATCATTAAAAACTCCCATTCATCCCGTGGGTGTTGTAAGAGCCGACTAAGGGAGCAAACTATGCAGGACAACTAAACCGCAAAGAGAAGGAAAACTTGACACAAACCCTATACCAACCCGTCTGGCCAGAGTGGGAGGCCTATGTCCAGCAGTGGACTGTTAAAGGCTGTTGATGATTGATGAAAAACTTTTACATTCCTGTCTAACGTTCAGATATAACAGCTAGCAAATAAAAGACAATACATCAATGTAAAACACCGATCACTCTTCCATAATATTATTTATTCTATGTTCTGTGAGGAATGCAACATCTAACATGGCCTCTGGGTCAAGTAGATCCTTAACATCATCATATTTCAAGCTCTCCTCATATGCAAACATGATGCTGGTGTCATCTAGCATCAACTTGGAAGCAACTAAGGCAGCTATACAGTTTTTTACTCTTGCCATTGTTTCTCGATCTGATCTACTCACACTCTAGAAGAAAACAAAACAAATTATAAAATATGACTTTCTCTATGTATATAAAAAAAATCATAATTACTACTAATTATTCCTGTGTACTAACTATATAATAGAAAGTATAGGACAAAGACAAAGACATTTTTATTTGTTGACAGATAAGGACAACCAAAATTAGCCAAGATAAAAGAAACAAATAAATTAAACTGGCTTGTATTTGTAATAGTTGGAGGTGTGATTATGATCCTTAAAACAAAATTTTATTAAAATGCTAAACATTTATTTGTTATTTTTTCTATGGAACATGAGGTCATAGGATAAAACAACACAATTTCTTCCCTTTTCATTTCATAGAATTACATCCTAATTCTTCTCTCGGTGATACCACCATAGAAAAAACTAAGAATCATATGTTTTGCCAAAATCTGCTAGATATTATTGTAAGAAAATATTATTTTGTTCTATGATGACGTGTTCCAGAGAACAAATGGGAAATACCGTTCCAAACTCCTTCAGTTCATATTACCTTGACTAGTAAAAGACATGATAGGATTTTAAGAGCACTACAGATTAATTGATTAACAACAGATGATTAAGGTTTAATATTTAGTGTTTAATATTTAACTTAACTACCTAGTTCATACCTAAGTATAGCATAAACACTATATAACTAAGGAGAAATCTATGGTGTACTAATGAATATGCATAAAAAAGCATATTACTCACACTTGGTGGCAATTTTCTTGATAAGACTGGGTTGTCTAAAAACTACTTAGTGTAGAAGTAGCACAAGGTCATTGATTAACCTCCGTTATGCTGCTTAACTGTACAGTGCTTACCGGTGAAAGCACTTTACAGTGTAGTGGCATATCAGAGGGGTGGCATGTCAGGGGTTAAATATGAAGTTTAAAATGAATAAATGAAACAAACCTGTGATTCACCATTCTCTATTTCATCTTTACTGCTTCCTTCAGTTAGATTATTATGTTCAGGAGGACTAATCCAAATGTAGCCATTATTGCCTATAATTACAGATAAACCACAAGGAAGATGGTGGAAATGGTTTTTCCTACGCTTGATCAATGATGGAAATACTTTGATGAGTGCGCCTTGGCCTAGCTGAAATTCAAACATTGTTTCATTAATTCATTGCTAATAAACAATAACTAAAAGGAAACAAGTCGTTTACATAACTAATTGTGCAATGTTGGGCAACATTTCTTGATCTAAATGATTGCTGTACAAGTTGTATTCTATTCAGCCTGACACTACTTTCATGTCGAAATCACTTAAATAGATAAGCTATAATACCTTGCCATACTTTAAGCTTCTAGTGTGCAAAGACAGGGAGCCATCTGAAAACACACTCTGTACTTCAGCACTGATGAGATCTCCTTCTTGCAAGTGTTTTCTCATCATCTGTTCATCTTCAACTGATCTGCGCCTCTGCAATAGAGACAATGTTCTTGATACAAGAAAGTCAATATTTTACCAGTTAATTTTCACTCTATAAAATAACTTATACTTACAAGTTCACCACCTGGCAGATTCACAGATGATAACTGAAGCACTGAGTCTAAACGTGAGTTAGTTTCTACTTTCCATCTACGCTGTTGAACTTCCAGGACTCTACCTACTACTACATCACCTATTTCACCAACATATCGACTTTTCAAAGGTCTAATACATATCAACTTGTTGACTTTTTGCATTACACCAGCCACTGAAGCTTTTAAGGAATCATCTTCTGCGTAAGTACCGTGACCACTGAAAAGGACATATAAATAGTTTGAATTCAACGTTGTTAGTAAAATTAATAATTTTGAGTTTTGGCTTACCGCATAAAATCTTGCATGCCCGTGATAACCTCTCCGGGAGTATAAAAACGGGGTAACTCATTATTAGAACGTACAGAATGGTTAACTCTCTCTGAAGCTAACCGTATTTTAACATGACTTGTCATAGTAAATTGTTGAAATAAAGTTAGAAAAATATGAGGTACCGTACAAGCCGAACCGTGTTTATATTGTAAAAATTTAACACGGTAATGTTTATATGGTTGTGATCATTAAATGACACTGACACCTGTTTCAGTATTGCCACTCTTTTAAAAAAAATTCAACTTATAACAAATTACTTATCTATTAGAAACTAAATCTTCATTAGAATGCAATGTTATCACTAAATTAATGTTAAATGATTTTAATAACTAAACTAATCTACTTACTAAATGTTATGAAAACTTACTTACTTACTTACCTATTACTTTTAGTTTTTTTATATTTGACTGCTCAGAAAAGCCTCTGTAAGCCATTTAGTAAGTGTCATGCCTATCGCAGTCCAGTTTCAGTACGACATAATCACCCCACCGGTCGTCCGATGGGGGGGGTCTAAAGGAGAACGGGGAGGGGGGAATGGGGATATAAATAAAATAAATGTAATAGGTATGTATCAGTTCAACGATACTTTGGTGATTAGTCGACATGTACAGCGTAAGGAGTGGTATACCTACTTTTCCCTCAAACAAGCGTGCGTGCGAATAAGAAATAATTCTGTGGTAAAAATATAGCAAATAATTAACAAAGAAATATGCCACAAAGCCTGCTTTGATGAGTGTAAGAGATCTGGAGATATAGCGATGCCTATGCTGTCTTAAATCTCAAGTCAGCAGGACCATTGTTTCTCGGCAACGATAGAAAGTTTGTCTGTTAACTGGGCATATCCCGGTGTTTGTTTTAAGTCTTGCTGTCTCGATCACATCTTTTTCACTATCGTAAGTAGGTGAGGTAGGTACGTGCCGCGATAGACACAACAGTATTTACTAAAACTGTTGTGACCTACTTGAGATATACTCAACAATAGGAAAGTAGTTGAAACCTATAGATTTTGGGTTGTAATTGTATACTATCACTAAACTACTTTACAAAATTCATCTTTGATTTCCAAACATTTTAAGTAAGACTCGATTATTTCTGAAATAACTTATTATATTTCCAACTTCTTTAAATTACTTCTGATTCTGATGATTTATTTACAACCAGTCCTGAAATAAACACAGCACTGAACACCCATCTTTCATTGTTAAATCAAAGACAGAGGGTAGGTATGATGTTATATATGTAAGTATGCCTATATATAAGTATATATAAGTATGCCTATATACCTATATATAAGTATGCCTATGTTGTGTACCTAGTACACAACAGTACCCAGACAGTTTAACTTTTCCTGCGACTTTACAAGTGTTATTACTCGGTGCGTGTTGTTCCTAGTGTACATTCAGGAGTTACAATTGGGCGTGTGGGAGGAAATAGTCACATTCAACAAATTCTGGGTATGTGTGTTGGTATATTTAAAATAACGAAATCTTGTCAATTTTTCTAGTTTAATAACATTCACTCTTAATCATTTTATTCCATTCCGATTATATGCCGTTCTATGTTTACAATGATATACTCCTTAAGTAATGATTTTAAAGACTCTAAAATTAATCTACGTTCTTATTTTTCTTCCCCAGTATTCTCATTAGATTTTTCGACATAAAGTATGGTCTCTCTGGTGACCCATCGTTCCTTTCACTATCTTCGACTGTAAAAAAATATATTTGGTACTTTAATTATTTATTAAAGTAGTTTTACGATTCAAAAGTAGATAGCCCTCTAATCTTAACAAGAGGCCAAGCAGATTTACTATCAAAGAGAAATTTAAAATTATCTTCTCCCAAAATTGAATTTTAAGAGAAATCTTTGATAAGCTTGGCTTACTAAAGCTTTGAATAATTGATTATTTATAGATACAGGGAATTTTAGAATTCGGTATAGAATATTACTTATTCATGCGCATCATAACAATACAATATTACCTAGAAACGGAATGGGATACTTACGAAAACATAAGAACAAAGTGTCAACAGCCATTTCATAGACTTTAAAGAATATTGTACATATGACGTAGGTTGCCATACCCAATAGTATCGCAGGAACGTAATTATAGTAAAGCGTCTGAATATTTGTATGCTGCTGGAGAAAGTTTGACTCGAACAGGTAATACACTGAAATTCCTACACCAATGGATAGTAGTAGCTTCGACAGGAAAAATATAAAATCTGTGACCTGAAATATTGAAAAAATGTTGTGAGAAATAAATAGAAAAAAAAATTGATCTCTCTGAGATATCAATATTTCATATGAAATGTACCTACTTACATAATAGGTGGAAATCAATATCGGCTATTCAGTTGATAAAATAACTGTTGCTAACTCGCATACTTACAATGTTAATTTCGAGTTTTAATTTTAAAAATTGTTTTATAGTGTAGGTAAACTATAGTATAATTTTACATTATCTGAACATGATACTTGCAAATTCATTAAAGTTTTTGTTTGGTTGCATATCTAATACCTGAATGCATACAATGCTGAATGCATGCAATACATACCTGAATTACATTATATTATATATATTTATAAAATGCTGCCTTACCTTGTCTAAGACGACCGTCCTCGCAATATTTCTCATAAGTAAAGAGAACGCGTCTCTAGCACTTTTGCAGAAGCTGTGTCCATGTATTGCGCACATTATATATGCGTTCTTATTAATGAATCGCAAACAACCCTCTAAGCACCAGCAACAACATTTGCAGACGCACATAATGCAGGATGTGACTGGATTGCTAAATTTCTTAAGTTTTCTATCGATGTAGTCGAGGATGACTCGAATGAGGCGCACGATGGCGATAATTAACGATCCTAATGCAACTGTTCCTGGATGATACCTACGGAGTTAATAATAGTACAATTTACTAAACATGGTATTGAATAAGTGATAAATAATTTTATTTTGCAAAAATAACCTTATCAAATACATCGACTTGCTCTTCAAAAGTAAGTACTTAGTATGTAGTAGATAGGAGCATGTCCTATTAGTAGGTACTTCTATTTCTTTCAGTCTCTTTTTCTATGTGTTTGTAAATCTTCTCCAAAAATTTCATAGAAAAAGTACCACTGGTTTCCGTATTTTTTATTGTTTATTTCATATTTTTGATTTCCTATCCAAGGAGAAAGCTTTGTGGGACGAGAAAGTATTGATTCTTTTTCTTGAAACGAGAAAGAATCAGTATTTTTGACTTTTTTGTCATGCATATCTTGCAGAACAACGCAGCGTTACATTCTACTTCGTTACATCCTATTACTTTGGACTTTGGCATTTTAGCGAGAAGCATTATGGGCTTTTGCCATATAGTTCCACCCGGGATAAAAGAAAATATCTAAAACACATATAAGACGTATTGTGAAATAATGCTATTAATTGTATCATGCAACATACAATATACAATTTTAATATGTGTTTTACCTTAGTGTCCTATATATGCCAGCAGTAAGCGTAAAGAAAGGCAAATCTCTCTTTGTCCAGTACCACGTAGAGAATGTGCTCGCGAGTATCATGTCTGATATACCACTGATGAAGAACATTGTCCAGAAGAAAACAAGCAAGTTAATCACTGCGGACAAAGAAGTATGATATTTCTATTTCATAATTGAATTATTATTCATTCATTATTCATTAATGCTACTAGTTTTATTGATCTAATTATATTATTAGTTACTTTTCATTGAATCTTCCTTCAAGTTTCCATAAAAGTTCCATAAATCGTTGGTAAATAAATACCCAATGAAAAGTTGTATTTTATGAGTTTTCTAACAACATAAACTCGAAGTTGATATCTTCAGAACGTATGTTATATACTTTTAGTAAATATATTCAGTACATATTTTGTTCCGATTCCAAAAGAAGGAAGAGGTCTTAATTTGATTCAATGTCAGAAAATCCATTGGCCAGATCCATGATGGATCTACATGTTGATCTCTCATTAGATAGGTCCTCTTTTAAAGTTGTAGATCATCTGAGAACTTTCCTTCTCAATTGATTGATAAAAATGGATAAACTCTTTTTTGTTTGCTATTAAACTTACACGATGAGTAAAGATCGAACTCAGAAAGCCGATATGAGCAAATATGATAAATATATAAATGAATATTTCTGCCATATTGACATTGCAGTTTAGAGCGTTATGATTGTTTTTGAAAATGAGTGAGAACGCAGTGTTGAAATTTATTTAACGTGGGTTTATTGAAGTATTGTTATAAAGGGCTACAGATTCCATAAGCATGTTTTTTATATAAAAAAAGACGTGTGGCACTCGGGGACTGCCGCGGTAAAGCTATAGAATAGCATTTTTTATCAACTTATGCAATTATAATTAATTATTTATTTTATTTATGCAGTATTTTTTTCCTTTGTTTTTTTTCTTTGATATTAATTCAAGTTACACTTTTTGAGCGTGGTGACCGATAAGAAAACATTTTTTTTTCTTTTATTAAATAAATGAGAAGTTAATATTGTTCAAAATATTTTTATTATCTTACAATACATGTAGGTTATTCAGGAATATTTATCATTGAAACTAAAGGTTTATGGTAACTGAAATAAGAAACATAAGTTTGAGACTTGATATCTTCTAAATATCTGGAAAATACCGCGTCACAACCAATGCCATCTAGAGGCGAGTTGCTGAACTAAAGAGACAAGCGTGATATTTCAAAAAGTCATTAAAAGTTCTGCTATTCATCAATAGATGGCAAAACTAAAAAGTATCACCGCTGTGCCGGTCGAAGTGTCGGGTGTTAGGTTATTTTCGTTACGGAATTTCTGGATTCGGTCTCCACGCTCAAGGCCCGCGATAGAAGCTATGCAATAGCTTAAAAGGCACTAATAGAGAAAGAGACAGATAAAATAAAATATCATCACTTTATTAAAAAAATTACGACAAGCACTTACCCTACATATTGATGGTAATTTTTCGAAGTTCTAAGTTTTCCGCCTATGGCTGTCAAACTATTTTATTTATATTTTATTTTCACTAAGGACTAATATTTTTTCTTTAAAATAAAAAAAATGGATTTCGATTTTGCCTCTCTTCCCTCGTCTCTTTTCTTACCTCATCTTCACTTTTTTGCAAACAATCTTTTTCATAAAGACAGGTGTCAGGAACTCAGGATAGTAATTTATTTAAATTAGTGATATTCACTTGTTTTAGCGATAATCATTTGTTTTTGTGGCATTCATTTTTGTTACAAAAACAATTCTCTTTAGATCCAATTTATTTAAGTTTTTATAAAAATAAAACAAAACCTAATGAGAAAAAAAATCACCATTAGATGCATTATGAATCTCTGGATTGAACGCTCAATTCCGTTGTATTTTCTGTTTTTATGTTACTTAGAATTCCCTCATTTATAAATGGACCTCGAATATTTTTTTTTTATTTGGCAGACTATATATTGGGTTTTTATAAGGTAAATATTAAGGATTGAAGAGATGTAGAAGCAATATAGAGAGAGTAAAAGTTAACTATTTAAATAACCTGCACAACCAGATAGACATACAGTCAATATTTTTTTAAATATTTTTTTTCGTTAAGTATCGTGTTAACATTCTGATATATTTAGTAAAAATCTGTTATTACGATACTACACACTAACACTCCTGACAACATTATTTATTTATGTAGATTGGTATTGATAGGTTGATAGGCAGGACTTACAGTGCAACCACACGACACTCGTTGGGCTATCAAGACCGGTGAAGTGACAGGTGATTTCTTCACATTGCCCGCCGGTAACGCTATCAGAACACAACAACAGTTGTCCCAGGAACTCAGCGGGATTACAGCGCATGCCATCCTGGAACTGTAAAATAAATAACTACTTATTTGAGTATTGATCAATTTACATGTTCATATGTACCTAGAACTTGAGGAGAGGGAAACTGGTACCCAAGTTGTACTGGTTGCGGTTGTTGGGTACAACAACTGGTAACACAAGTTAAAAAATACCGGGGGTATTCACCAGAGCCCACTAAATTAGTGTGATTTGTTTAAGAAAATGTTGGACCAGAAACGAAAGAATTTATTTTCATTTATTGTAAGCTACCGCAAACTGAAAAAAGAGATTTTCTGAAATGAAACGTGAAATTCGAATTAATATGAAGAAAATGTCGGTTACTGGTAGACAAATTTGTGTCGAACGAGTTATAAAGAATATATAATACTACGGTGTTACTCACTCTTCTATGAATTTGATTGCATGAACAGTGATTGCATTAAAGAACCTGACAAATGATTCCAACATCAGTAGTTTCTATAGTTTTATAAAGGATTGTGAAAAATAAATATTATGCCCGTGTGGTGACGGATTAAGAATACGAAGTATCACCAAAGCTATTCATCCCGTGGGTATCATAAGAGCCGACTAAGGGAGTAAACTACGTAGGACAACAGCACTGTGAACAGTGGACTATTAAAGGCTGTTGATGATGATGATGAATCCAAGCCCGTTTACGAAATAATAAACTGTTAACGGGAAATTGTTGGTAGAGTGACGTGGTCCTTGCCCCCACAAGCTAAATTGTGTATTACCTGGAAGTTACTAGGACATCTGCAGCTCTGTTCGTTATTTAAAACGATCCTAAAGAGGTTCTCTCCAATGGACCACAAGTGGATTAGCACTAAAGCTCCGTACGCCACAACAAAACATTGAATGAACCATGGTACTATAGGTAAGAGTACTGTTGACTTTATCGCTGTTACCGCCCTGAAAATAATTTAAATTAGGTACACATTTAACACAATAATTTAAAAAATCACTCGCACTAAAACTAATCTTTTTTATTAGCAACAGGTAGGAACTTTTTTTTTCAGTTTTGGAAGGGTCCAAAATAATATAAAGTACTGCTATACTAGACTTTCTTCCCATAGTCTCATAGAGCAATGACACCGGAATCTTACCCTATCTTATTATTTAAATTTGACTTTATCCTTTTCATGTTTAGTAACTGTGTGTGTAGTGATTCATTCAGTGGGTTGGTGCTTAGGCGGTAATATCTAATGTGTAATAGCTTGATATTTTAATTTGGACACAATAGTAATAACTATTTTAAGTTCCTATTGGGTTAAGGAAAGTAGGGTTAAGAAAACCCCAAGAAGTAGATTTATACAAATCTCTAAAACATGTCACGGTTTTCAATAAAATTCGTTTAGTAATTTTAATTTAAGTACTTACTTGCTTCCTTCGCGTATGAGTTCAATGGCGATATTGATTCTAGTTCTTAAAAATATAATTATTAATAGGAGTATTAACAAAATGATTGCCACGATCACAAGTAACACCAACCAAGTTGTACTGTCGCTGAATATGGACTGGGTGTAGCCATTTAGGTTCGTCGTCTGATGCATAGATATATGGTTCTTATAGTACACATAGTTGTTATAGCACAAATATATACCTGAAATAATACGAAGTATGAATAAGTCACTACTTAATATAGTATTTTATTACCTAATGTGTTTAACAGTTCGATCAACAAGTATGTGATAATACCATTCAATAAATCTGTAAAAGCAATATTCCTTTCCTTTCCCAATTTTCTCATTTTTAAATTGCCCGGTTGAGGATAATATCCTATTACGTGAGTGTGACTTATATAGACAAAACGTGAATGTCGTCGAACGTCTCGGCTTCGGGGTTACAAGCAAGAAGATTTTATAAGAGCCTACTTACAAAATGCAAGAACTGCTAATAATCCGACTAAAGAAACCCACACCACAGGACAGACGACCCAACGTAGCAGCAGAATATACATGAGGCAGAGTATGACGATGAGTATAAGTGCGACTACAAAAAACCAGCGAGATTCCACCAAGTCGTGAACGATTTGACTCGACAGCTGTGAACATAGAAATTGCATAAATTACAGAGTTAAATACATTTTAAAAGATATAAAGAGCTGCAGTGTTTATAATAATAATATTCTACCTCATTCACTCAACGCCATCTAGTCCCAAACTAAGCAAATACATATACTCGTATGTATACTTATTTTTTTTAAATACACACTTATGCACACACATGGAATATATACAATATATACACACACATGGAAACACCCAGACCAAATCTAACATTAAATGTTCATGCACACAAATCTTTGACTTGAGCGGGAATTGAAAACGCGACCTTTGGAATAGCAGTCCGTTACGCAAACCACTACGACATCCGGTCGTCAAATTATTTATTAATTATGTGATGGCTTAATACTGTAAACCGAACCAAATTAACCAAATCTGCTTATGTAAGTAAAACTAATCTAGATGATAGAGCTCTGAGGAGCAGTAAAACAGATTCGAATTTTTTTGCTTTTAGAAATAATCTCAATTTTTGACACACACTATAAAAAGGTAAGAAAAACAGAAAAAAGGAAAGATCAAAATTTAGCGATTTTCATGGATTTTTATATTTAAATGAATGTTCATTAGGTTCGGTTTATGTCTTTTCAAACTTGAATTGGCTCATGCACTTCAATTATCCCAATTTTTTTAAACTTTCAACAGTTCAACAGAACTATTTAAAACACGTTCGAACTGGCCTGAACCGAGTCTAGCTACAAGCAACCTTACCGGTACGTTTTGGTGTTTTTGGCATTTGCAAATTTACAGCCAGTCTTCCAGCATTTCTGTTTTGTATTCGGCACAGAAACGTTAACCAAAAATATATAATTTGTGTTTTCTCAGTCTCCTATCTCAACGATCCTTTATTAATAAATACTAGGGTAAAATTAGCATGGAACCAAATCAGAGAAAGAAATATATATCAAGTGATCAATATATATTATACTCTGTCTTCTAATACCATAAAACAAAATGTTTTCAGATTTATAGTCATGGTCTTAGCCAGCGCATTCTAATTTAGAAAGCACTCGTGTAATTTGTTTTTTTACTATATGTACAGATGAAAGTTAACTACCTGATTAAGTCCGGTCAGTTCGGAGACCTGTTCCAGTGCCTCGTCCTCCTCCATGCCCAGCCTGTTTGTTACATTTCGTAAGAACTCCGCCGCCCCCGCCGCAGATACATTAATTAAACACCTTCTCACAACTGCTCTGACGGCAACGTTGGAAAATAAATAATATCATTTAGAAATTAATTATTTTATTAAGTTATCTGTGGTTTTTATTATAATATATTGAAAATAATATAAAGACATAATGAATCCTTAAAACAATATTTTTGTTTGTTAGATGTGCGACGGTAATTTTTTGCATGTCTAAATATACCTTTTACACCGAGGTCCACTTCTGATTTCCACTTACTTATAATCCCTATGTAATCATCACTTACTTTATTCAGAGACTTGTTTTCATTTCTTTAAACGGCGTGGAAGAAACATTAATATTGCTTAATACCCATTTCGATGTCATTGTGATGCAATGAAACTGATAAACAGAAGAACTTTACCTGATTTACTTTGTAACACGACACTAGCACACTTATTGGCATCAATATTGGCTTTTGCTTGAGATAGGCTCATACTAGGTATATTTATGTCCTCTGTGCACACCATACTTTGTTTGTATTCGTTAAAATTGCTCTCTGTCATTTGTCTAAAATCTATTGTTTTTCTTGGACACTCTTTGACGCATACCTTTAAAAAAACATAATTATAATATACTTAGCACTTACTATACACTTAAGACTAGTTAATGTAGCTCCTGCAATTGCCCTAGTTTTATTTGAAAAGAAACTAAAATTACTCATGCAATTACCCGATTCACTTTGACTCTCTTCGGTTTTCCATAAAACTCCGTAGTGGAAATGTGTGTTATATTCTATGCAACAATAACAATTTTTGACACTTTATAAAAACTTTTTTAAACTTAAAATTCATGCACGTAAGGCGTAAAGGTCTAAGTCTCTAAGACATTCCTTAAAATCCAACTTTCAGTGAAAATAAGAACTTTTCAAATATACAAAGAAGTATAAGTTAATTCATCAACGTAAATTGTGATAAAATCAATCCCATTCAAATCGTTTATGCTGCTGATTATAATTACTATCGCACCATACATAGATTTTTTTATGATTAAAAGTTTAATCGTATATTGAGATTGTTTCAAAATAATAGGTCTTTACCTATGAAATTGCCGTTTTGTATGCAATAAGTGAAAGTACTTATTTTTTCAATTTTTTTTATTTCTGTTATTCGAAGTAATCACCCATGCAATCGACGCATCTTTGCCAACGCATTGACAGTTTATTGATGCCCTTCTTGGGGTCTGGTGAGTACCAAGCAACCAGCTTTGGTCAATCGGTCGTCCCCACTGCTCCTTCGCGACAACGCGCGACCCCATACTGCGCAACAGACAGTCTCCAAGCTGCAAGAGCTGGGGTTGGAAGCTCTCCCTCATCCGCCATACTCACCAGACCTTGCACCTACCGACTTTATTACTTTTTCCAAAATTTAGATAACTTTTTAGTGGGTAAAAAAATCAATTCCCGAGAGGCAGTACAAAATGCCTTTGAAGAGTTTGTTGCCTCCCGTCCAGCTGATTTTTACAAGACCGGCATCAATAAACTGCCAATGCGTTGGCAAAGATGCGTCGATTGCATGGGTGATTACTTCGAACAACAGAAATAAAAAAGTTTGAAAAAATAAGTACTTTCACTTATTGCATACAAAACGGCAATTTCATAGGTAAAGACCTATTATATTTTCAAAATTTCAAAAGGTTGCTTCAAAACGTAGTTTTATTTTAAGTTTATTTTGCTTTAATAAGACCGTTAAAATTATTATTTATCTTGCCTGTGGTGTTGGACATCCCTTAATGGGGATACTGGGTGACAGACATTTTTCAATATTAAAAAACACAAGATGTCTCTTGTCTTCAAGACCAGCGTCGAGACCACATCGTCTGCCTCTCGAGTCCACAGGGGCCAAGAGCCTCTCTACATCCCCATTTATTATAGCTGCAAAGTAAAATTTAGAAATAGTTACATACATTAAAAGTTTAATTGAGTGTATAATTAAGGCTGCAGAAAAATCAGGCTTTTCCCTTCTTAGACGTTAAAACTAATAAACAGGATTTCAAACAGACAACGCAACGCCTAAAAAGTTCATAAAAGTCATTTCAAGTCTACTTTCACTTGGGTACCTACCGGCTACTACTACTATGCCTAACCACTGCGATCAGCAGTTTGTGAACTGGAGATCATTTTGCCCTCTGGTGGAAAAACTAATTTACTTCCACCTTTTTTTCGCAACTTACTCTTTCGCAGAATGTGGCAGAATGAGATGCACTTTCAAATTTGACAGTACATAGAACCTCCATAGACTCTAGCAACAGCCTGCAATGTACATACTTCTCAAAAGAGCCGTAACCGGTGTGTTTGTTAGTATCAGTAGAAGAGGCTTCCGGCGTATCGCCTCTCAAGCAAATCCTTTATGACACGCTTTATCGCCACCATCGTAGCGTACCCTGCACTCGGATACTCAAATTATTATAGCCACTTCACCATTCCTTTAAGTACATAAGAATTTAACGATGCACAGATTCCAGTCTCATTCCTATGCTTTCTAATACTGCAAATAGAACAAGTTTTTCGCACATATCACTTTTATCTGCAAATAAACCTTTTTAAATCTGAACACTAAAGTGCACACACGATTCGCATATAATACATTATATGCGAATCGTGTGTGAATTTGAATTTGAATAACTTTTATTTCAAAACGATTTGTTGCAAATAATAACTTTAAAACGTACTAACCATATATGCCTACAAAAGCCCACACGCCGAGGAAGATTATGAAAAGAATGAGCCAGAAAACATCGGTACATGATCGATCACGCCTGGGACCTTCAAAGTCCGGGTCATACTGAGGCACCTCCGCTGTAAACATTTGAAAATTTATTTTAACTTAATGGTTTTTATTGTTGGCTTTGGTTGCTTATCAGAATGGATGTCTCCCGATTGTTATTTGTGAATGTTATTTGACCTTAGTTCAATCCACGTTTTTGTTCACCTTTACTCTCGGAAGGCGCAATGGAATTGAGTAAATTCCTAAGTATATAACTTTTCTCTAGAATTGAATTATGAAATGTTTCAAATCTGATCTGAATCTGAAAAATATTGTTTCAAATCTGAAAATTAGCTTTAGAAATTGGCGTGTTTGGAAATTATTATATAACATGTATAACAATCTGAAAAAGCACATGATTTTCATCTTTTCTATCATAACACAAGTTATGAACCGAAATTAAAGTCTAACAGAATAGAATAGAATGGATTGATCTAAGAGTTTTACGGATAAAATGTGTCGACATTTGTCGGTATTGTCATGTTGTTCTACATTTTAAATTTATTCATTCCTTTATCATGTCATGTCAGTCATGGAACGCACACGTCCAATTCTGATAGGAAGCAGACTACATCGTTATATTTGTTCGTCTATATTAGCACTAACACAAATCAAGAATTAGTTTTTATATACGGCGCACTAATATAGATTAATTGTTTTGACAGTTGACAAACATAATAATAATAGTTGACTTTATAATCAATAAAAGAATCTGAGTACGTTGTGTTCATGATAATGAAGTATGTCATCAAAAGCAGAACCAATGCCTTGTAGCGCATCTAACAAAATTGGTTATGTTTAGAATGCAGAAACAAGGAAGCGAATCCAAGAATTATATGACATAACGCATTTCATAAGTTACCATAACAAGTGTAAACACTTACCGCCGTCTTCTGGTGCCGTGCAGCAACCACCGCATACCATTTTAATCACACACTCAATTTCCTTGTGAATTGTAAATTATTCATTACATTACATTACATTGTGACCCTTCTAATACAATATGTTATAGACATACTGCGTCCTCAAATACATGCCGATACTGGCTCGTCTTGCTTATCTGATATTTGTACTGTTGATAACGACTTCACCTTTTCTGTAAACCTAGGACATTAATTCATTGCTCGATAATGAATAACGCACTTGCTATATATATATATATATATATATATATATATATATATATTAGCGTTGGCATCGCTGGAGTACTATTTTAAAAGTTTTTTTACACCTGCTTTTAGCCGAAGCTAGTATAGAACGTTGGTATCTTCTAGATCGAATTACATGATCTACTACATATTTGTAGTCGATTTGTTTTGGTTGGTATTATTCAAATAATAATAATATTACGGACATCTGACACACAACGACATCTAGTTTTAAACTAAGCAGAGCTTGTACTATGAAAACTAGTTTGTCTGATAGAATACTTGTAGACTTTTTTTGTTAATACATGATACACATATTATACATAGAAAACACCCCTTCTCCGAAACAAACATTTGCAGATTATACAAACATTTGGTCCGACCTGGGAATCGAAGCCGAGACCTCAGCATAGTAGTCGCATACGCTATCACTGCACCACAGAGGTAGTCTCGTAAATGTAAACCTTACGTAGGTACGTTAAATTCTGTCGACGTCTATCTTGACGTGCATGGAAGGGGTATATTAAGTGCAATAAACAATGTATCTATTCTACATACACAAACAAACACAGAGAGGGACACGCACGCACACACACACACACACACATACCCTCACACATTTGTTGCTCCTGAATTAATTAATAAAAATAAATACTTTTCATTACTTAATAGTTATACTCGTACCTTGGTCCCGAGTGTTATAAAGTATTTAGTGTTATAAGTATCTAAGCGTGTTTTAAATAATATGTTGTTTGGTGTTATAAACAACAAAATCTCTGTATATTACAAGCATCGTGATATAATGATTAGCTAATTGGATTTTAAATCGAAAGGATATTAGAATCTTTTCTGTTTTAGTACAGACAAGAAACTAAACTGCAGATAAGCAAACAACCAAGAGGAAATAAACCCTGTATAATGTAATTATTATGAAGTAAATACAATCAATGTCTCAGAAAATAGCTTAAGGGTCATGACTTTAAAAGAAAGTAAGTATTATAAAATTGTGCGAAAATCCCCTCGGATACCACCTACCGGTGGCTATGTCGGACTCAAACCGCACGCCGTCTCGGGAACCAGGTGTAACCTAGAAAGGAAATCCCTGGTACCCCGACGTACTTCGGGGCATTTACGGCGGGTAGATGACCCCCTCCTGTGTTGGAACCCCCATGTTCCCTTGGTGCTCCCAAAAGGGCACGCGCACTCCGCAGCGCGTCTCGCCGCCACCCCGGCCTGCTTCTGCTAGGATGACAGATTGCCTCATCTGTCACCCCCAGCCCTGCGCTTATGGAGGTGGTTCTGCGACCTCCGGCGCCCGGGGGGCCGGGAGAGTTCTAGACCTCTCCCAGTCCCGCACCGCCATCTCCTTTGCAAGCATAACTTGCTCGCAAAAGGAGACGGCGGAGTTCCACGCACTCTCGGTCCGTACCATGGCGGCAATCATACTACCGAGCGAGAGGACTCCCACTCCGATGGCCACCACGAGGTCGCGCCTCTCCTCCACCCACGCCGGGCATTCTGCCAACGTTTTCTAGACCTCTCCCGGTCCCGCACCGCCATCTCCTTCGCAAGCATAATTTGCTCGCAGAAGGAGACGGCGGAGTTAAACGCACTCTCGCTCCATACCATGGCAGCAATCATACTACCGAGCGTGAGGACTCCTACTCCGATGGCCACCACGAGGTCGCGCCTCTCCTCCACCCACGCCGGGCATTCTGCCAACGTGTGGAGGACCGTTTCCACGGTCCGGCCATCGTATTGGTGGAACTCAGGCGTTGGCTCCTTGCGGATTACAGGTGATCTCCGTAACAACCTTTCCCGGTGATCAACTGCGTCAGCCGGTATGAGAGGGTTCCGTGACGCCTCTCGAGCCAATCCTCCATAATGGGTCTTACCGCCGCAATAATGGCGTGCCCGGCGCTCGGTTGCCCAAGACGTTAACTATACCTACACCTAATAATCATATTAGGGATAGTATAAAATCTGATCATAGGATTTATAAATTATATAATCACACCTGCGACTAATTTATAAAACCAATGCGACTTACTATTATTATTCCGCTAGCGCCACCTCACGAAAACTCTAAAATCTAAAAAAAGTGATTCAATGTTGATTAATTTTAATAGCATTTTATCTTTGTCTATCATGAAATCACAATCACAGGTGAAATAGCGTTCACTAAAACCAATCATATCATCATATGAAACTGATTTAAAAGTAGCAATAATTTTCCATGTCTGAATCATATAATATAATTACTTAGTTTTTGGGCGCGACTCCGTCCGCGTGTATGTCGGTTATCGTGGTATAAAGTAGCCTTTGTTACGCGCTGATAATGTAACTGTAATGTAATGCTTTCCATTGGTGAAATAATTTTTAATTTCAGTTTAGCGGTTTAGGCGTGAAAGCGTAACAAATAAACAAACAAACTCTGTCAAACACTGAAAAACTGTCTTCCGCTATCTTTGACTTGATTGAGGTTATCTGTAATTATATCTACGAGTATCTACTAACTTGGTTTTTTTTTTAATGTCCAAACAATAACGCTGTCATCCTTGAGACTGACTAAGGAAGATTCCATTACTTTCACTATAAATGCACACATTGCTTAAAAAAACTACGAAACTTTAAAACCTGATCACACAATACAAAAGGTGATTATTCGCTTTGTAAACAATGAATTCAAATGGTCATTGCCGAACTTAATAAAGTAATTGCATTGTAGTATAACACGGAATTATGTGCTTAGGCCTATACCTTCACTTTCGAAGAAAACAAGATACTTAAATCAAATAAAACAAATTTTCTAAATTTTCTAAAAACAACATGTATATATTACAGAGATTAAACTAGTAGGTCGGTAAAACGAATTGTTAACTGATAAAATCAATGTTTTTCTTTGAGCCCATAACTAAGACGTTGTCCTCGTTGTAATCCATATCTTCATATTTGAATCCGTGAACGTAAGCGAAGTTACCGAAGTACATGCACTTGTCGTATCCGACCGGTTGAAAATCTGTAAATTATGAACTTAGTTCTAGAAAACTTTGGCTTTTGTGTGATTAGGTGAAGTCAGTCAAATTTGCAAAAAAAATATGACTATAGCGTTTTTCCTTTAAACGAAACTTTAGGATTAAGTTTAAAATATTGTTAGTACCCAGCACAAACAACATCAAGATGGTACAGATTAAATGCTATTTTCTCTAAAGAATAGCGAAAAAACCAACCCCGAATCAAATAAAGTTTTAGTTTGCCGAGTCAAGAAATTCGACTGAGTTGATCGAATTTCTTGAGTTGGCAAACTAATAACTCACATTTTAAAACTAAGAACGAATAACTCAATAGGAGTACACATACTCGTACTTGCTTAATATTACGTTTCAAGTTTGTAAAAATTTGACAATATTAAAGCCAACGCAAACGCTTTATAATAAAATTTTAACAGCAACATCATTCATCATTCAACTTACTGGTGCCTCGTCGGCAGTTGAACAGGTCCATTATGCAGTGATTGTCAAAAATATACGTAGAAGTCGTATCGAAGTCAAAAGCACAAATCTTCTGCATGTATGTTGGGCATAAACCGCATCTAAAATATTATTGTGGATGGTTAAATAGCATGTTACAATTCCACATAGAAGACGTTCTAAAATAATCTTTTTCTAGTTTTCGAGTTTTTCTATTTATTAAAGCGTGGGGTGCTTTTCAAGATACTTTACTTTTACCAATATCTGTCAATAAAATATTTTTACAACAATTGAGGCTAGGTCTCAAAAAACAAACCAAAATAATTTTTGTTTTAGAACTTATAGAAATTATTTTCTACTTTTTAGTTCGACTAGTTACAAAAGCGTATTTTTTGAAACTGTTTTAGATTTTATTAGTCTTTTTTTTTTAAGAAATAATATTTAATATTTAAAGAAAAATTAATGATGATTATTTTCTCACTCAGAAAAGTAACAAGTAATTAAGTTAAATATGCTTTAGCGCACGCCTTAGTACGTGGCAAAAGACACTACCGTATTTTTGGGTATGGAAAAAGCCGTTGACCCTGTAGATTCTGATCAGGATAAACGGACAAATTTATCAAATTATTGTATTGTCATCGGTTCTTGATAGGTGTACGAAATTTGAATTCAACATTTAAATTAAATTTGTCATTTTAAAGGAAGTAAAATCACGTTCAAAGATGACGTTACATACTCGTAGATATACATACATACTAAGCTAATAAAAGCCTGTCAAAAAAGATAATGCCCTAGTTTCGCGGCTGGTAGGTAGACACTTAACTTAATATTAATTATCATACAAATGCAATACCTGTGGCCATCTGGTGCTGGGTTTTGCTTATATTTCAAATGACCTTCATCCGATGAAGCACCAAAGTCTATACATCTGCCTTGTTCTGAAAGATGCAACAGAGTATACTTGTATTAATGGTCATGGTCTGATTATCTAAACAAATATGATTAAAGCATTAAAGTTTGATCATGGCAATCTTGTGTTTCAAATTATCAGCAACGTGGAATCCAATGATGAAAAGCATACACCCCGCTTTTATGCGAAGTCTTGTAAACACTTGAACAGTAGCGTCGTCGGTTAGCTTAAACAGGGACACTGTGAGTATAGTATGCGACGGTGCATGGCAAATGAAATGGATGAAAAAAATTTTACCTCATGAACCAGTCAACCTGTGACTACAGCCAATGGAATCTGGTCGAAACATCAGGTAGTTAATTCAAAGGTATTTAATTTATTACCTATCGTGAGCTCGTTAATTCCCGTAAACATAATTATGTATTACTAGCTGTACCCTGCCACGCTTCGCTGTGGCACATTGTGGTTGCATTCATGATTAATGAGGAACAAAACTGACGCGAAAAATAGATAAGAAAAAGGCGTAAGGGGTCTACGGGCCCTCGGTCGGAACGAAGTTGCTTTCGCTTTGTGATATTATATCTTATATACTATATCATATTTTCATTTATTGAGAACTAGCTATTGCACGTAAATGTCCGTTATCGCTGTCACAGGTAGCCTATGTCTTTCCTCAAGAATCAAACTATCTCCATACCAAATTCAGCGGTTATTGATTCCCCATACAAATGTCCACCCCTCTTTTTACCCCCTTAAAGGATGATTTCTGGAACAAAAACTACCCTATGTCCTTTCCCGGGACTCGGACTATCTCTACACCAAATTAATAACACCAAAAAAAAGTTTTTGATTTAATTTGTAGTTTAATTAATTCAGTTTATTTTTCAATTTTTAGTGTTTTTAGGTAGGGAGTTTTTGTTTGAAGTTTTTTTTTAAATTTTCCATTTTTAGTGTAATTATCACTACTAACTACTTCATATAAACCACCTTCAAATGTTATTAATGCTGATGCGAATAACTGTGGGTTGGGTGATTCTTTGAAACCGAGGGTAAATGACTAATTCGTCTGGCTTAAATTATTTTTTAGTATTAGATACAAGTTTAAATATTAGTTTGTCTAGGTCATTAAATATATTTAATTTATTTAAAAGGCACTGCTTTGCTCCCAGTAATTTATGATTTAGAGTGTGCAGATGAATTAATCAGCCAGATGAATGATGACTATGGCAGAAGAATGAGATTTTGCACACTAATTAACTAAGATAAGGAATAAATGAGTTTTTTTTTATATTATTTGAATCAATTTTATTGTAAAAAATTAAAATATAATTACTATATTGTGTTGATCAGTCAAGTGAATCTTAATTATTCTGATATCCACTACGCATACATTATACTACTTCTAATTTGTAACTGTTTCTTTGGGTTGAATTATAATGATTAAACTTAATAAATCACACTTTATAACAAAACTTATTATCTTTTAATCTCTTATATCTTAATTGCAATGACATGCAATGGCAAAAATAACAATAATTCTTCACTTATTCCGATTTCACCAACGTCGAATAAATTTATCCGAAGAATAAATTCGGCGTTCTGAAAGTTTTAGTTGCAAAGAAATATCAAATATGCACTCGGATAAGACTTATTTTACATTGGTGAAATCAGCCATCATCATCATCATCATCATCAACAGCCTTTAATAGTCCACTGCTGGACATAGGCCTCCCCGTAGAAAGGAGGTTTTGGCCTACTACTACTACTTCTCTCTGCAGTGTTGTTGTCCTGCGTAGTTTTCTCCCTTAGTCGCCTCTTACGACACCCACGGAATGAATAGGGGTGGAAATCAGCCATTAGAAATAAATCATAAGAACAAAAACATAATGTATCAACGAAAAAGAAGCAATTTGATAACACAAACAAACAACTAAAACAGTCAAATCAGTGTGGTACAACGTGCAGTACATGCGATATGCATCACCCACCCTCCTGCTTCTAAACATGCAGAAAAAGCAAACAAGCAATACACACCACCACGACACGACACCACAAAAATCTTCTGTCAGCACTGTCAATGTACGTATCATTCGTATTGCTTGCTTGCTTATCCTGCATGTTTAGAATCGGGAGAGTGGGCGGTGTATAACGCATGCTGCACGTTGTACCACACTGATTTGACTGTTTTAGCGGATGATAGCGAATCATCCGCTAAAACAGTCAAATATCTCAAGTTCCTTGATCACAGACTTCAGCAAAGTAACGCCTGCTTCTAGCCAAATCAAGATATAATAAAATGAGAATCTATCCATACTATCTCTAGCCTTAGCTATAATCTAGCCTTAATTTAATAATAGGAACGTCAGTCAAGAGATCGCTGAGCGGTAAGTACTTAGGTACTTATCTATTTTAAAAAATGTCATCATCATCAGAGTCCATTAGGTATGGAGCAAGATTTTCTAAATCGATACTAAATTTTTTCACTACTGTCTGTTGGAAATGTTATTTCTAAAATACTGTCTAAGTCAAGACATTCTGCCGATTCCAAATTTTGTTCTGCTTTATTCTTCCTGAGTCTTTTTTCTTCATTTGCTTCTGATATGGTAAATTGTTTTCCATCACTATTATTTAGTCCTAAAGATTTAAGAAAGTTTGGTTAATTGGGTATATCGAAAATATAAAATTCTTCATCTTCATTCTCTTGATTTGTGTTACTGCTTTGCTCTGTTATTGTCTTTTTTTGTTCGATTGGTTTGTTATTCTCTCGTAATAAGTTTTTCTTTGGTGTTTTTCGCACTTCATTTTCATTTTCTTGAACTATCTTGCCCATTAGCTTTTGTTTTTGTCTTGGCCAAATTCGGTTAATCTTTCGTTTTGATTCTTTTTCAATTCTGGTCCTCTCTTTCTCTGACGATCTTATCCCTTTTCTTTTATATATTGGCGTGTTACTTGTTTGTTTATTCTTTTGATTTCCATCTTCAATCACATTACGTCTTGCTGTTCAAAAGGATTCACCAATCTCTCTCAGTTCCCTTGTTGAGTCAGCTAGAGGTGTGACTAAAAAGTCTTTCTGACATCCGTCTACAAAATTATAAAAGCCAAGATGTTTCTTGTAACGCAGACGTCTTACTAAGCTTGTTGAGTTGCTCTGTTGAGACATACTGCGTGAAATCCTATATGGTCCTGGTACAGGTGAATCCGGTTCTTTGTTTGAAATTGAGTTTTCTAAAGGTGACACATCTCGAATGTTGTCTTGTGAAGCTACCACCATTTCAGTGTCTGACAAGATGCTGTGACTTTGAGGTGGTGTATATTGTGTAAACAGCTGCTCCGTTCTTTTTTCTTGCTTTTTTCTTAGGTAATATGACTTGTAATTTTTTCTCCATCTTTTTCTCTGTAACTTTTGATGTCTTGGAGTCATTTCCTTAATCGATAATTGTTTCTTTTCTTCTTTTCTTCGTATATAGTTTTGTTTATTCTTTTCTTGGTTTTCTTTCCATAAATCATCATTATTTTTTATTCTTTCGTATCTTTTTCTCTCTGCAAGCCTCTTTTTTCTAAGTCTTTCTTCTCTTGTCTGCGTCTTTGGTTTTGCCATTTCAAAATAGTGTTCTGAAAAGAAAAACTAGTATACAGGAACTATAGTCTGTTTATGTTAAGAAAATTGAGACTAAACTGATCATTGTCAGTAGAGTAAGCGATGCCCTCAACAAGCCTTCAACTAATTATGTTGCGAGAAATCAAAAAACATTTTGATTTCACGCAACTTAGTTGGTCAGTGATAGAAATCTAATTCATCTGCCTCTTCCAAATTCATCTGGTCTTATGAGCCAGATAAATCCAGACCAATGAGGGCCAGATTAATGAAGAATTTGAAGATAATCGAATCCTGTCCAGTTATTTATCAACCTTTAAAATTATAGGAGTAATTAACAGTAATAGACAACCTAATAAGGGTTTATGATTCTTACAAAACATTAAAAGACACTTCAATATTATTCATAAAAAATGCCAGATTAATTATGCTACTTACCTTACAAACGCCAGATTACAGGTTGATATCGTATTTTTTCGTCAAAATACGCGCCGTGAACGAGCGCTCCGTATGATAGACTGGCATTCACTGGCGCGAAAGATCGCTAGTCGGTTTATTCAATGGAAAAATTTAGAGTTACGTTGAATTCCCTTGTAGACGTATTGGGCCAGATGAATGATTACTATAGTCGCGGATAATTTTTAAAGTACTATCACTTCAAGATTATTTAGTTATTATGTTTTTTAATTTGGAAATATTAATAAATATATAATGGGATATCGTTACAACTTACTTATTTTATTATATTGCGACAATTTATTCCAAAAAATAGTATAAATCAACACCAAAGCGTCATTTGGACGCGCCAGATTAATTAGTTTTAACAGTTTTCTGAAGGCTTAAGTTTTTTATTTATTTCGAACTGCGATTAGCTATATCATGCCTCGATAGATATTTACTTTTAACATAAAACCTAAAATGTATGTCGAAAACGAAGATTATTTTAATGAGTTCTTCAGCGAAAATCATGTCAAAACTGTGTTTCGAAGAATCACCCGGTTAATGCACGTATTGGCTCCAGTTACCTATGTTTTGACTCAACATTTCTGTTGCCAAAGAGCCTGGTCCAAGTATCTTATCCGAATTTAAATGGCCTGTCCTTCGCCGCGATCAAATAGAATTAGGCATTACAATATATAACAATAAATAACAGTTTTAATTATTTATTTAAAACTGTTATTTATTGTAATTTATTTTACAGTTGGGGTGAAACGTAAAAAAGTACATGGTTTGCTTACGATGCGCTGGCAATTGGTATTGATAATGCAGGGAAACTACTCAATACAGAGGTAACTGCATTCAACTAGTTTCCTTCGACTTCATAAAAAAAAATAACAATACGTATTCTGCCAAGAAACTTTACCCTCGTTCATAAAATAATCATTAAACTCATCTGTAATTTGTTTTGCTGTTAAGGCAGCCTTTCTAGGTGCATTATTCAAAGGAAGTAAAGATGAAATTTCAGTATCTCTCCACCAACTACCTTCACCTAGTCTTCCGTTTTGGTAGCTGTCAAGTGATCAAGGGGGTACATACTAGTGTGTAGATATAGCAGTGTTTCTCAAAAAATTGTGATTCTTGAAGTTCCGCAGGATTGTAGGAAATGTATTTGGTATCACAGCATCTGTGTTCAGAGTTTCACGAAAACCTATGCTTCTTCAGCTCGAAACCGTGGAGACTATAGTCAGTATAGTCATGGCTATTGCATACTAGCATAATTTTTTGAGAAACACTGCTATACTTTTTTGTGAAATATAAAAGATATAAATGGTTACTGTGTAACCGGTAATCACCATATCATTATATTTTTGCTTTACATTTTGTCTTAATATCTAAATATTTATTATTACACAAACACACACATACAATTACACATATATACGTAGGTATACAAGCAGAGCGGAGCTCCTCCTAACTGCCGAGGTAGGCCGCCGCGGGGTTTAGTGGGTAAACCGGTTATCCGGGAGTCCCACACACGCCCTGCGTTTCCCCAACGGAGGGTATGGTGCGAAAAGCATTAACCGCTATAAAAAAAAAGGTATACATGCAGAAACACCTACACACGTCAAATACCTACATACATATACATGCATACAGCACAGTACCCATATAGAATGTACAGTTATTTTGAAGATAAGCAATGATCCTTGAGGAGTTTCTAAAAAACGGTTAGTGACTGTGCTTCTCGGATATTTACTGGCAATGCATTTCAAAGCCGTGCAGCCTGTACTGAAAATGATTCGTCATAAAACGTTGTTTGTATTTGTAGTAAGTACTAAGTATGCTTTGCTGGTGCCAAGTTTTCCGATGATCTCCAGTTTCTATTGTATCGTGTATAAATGTAGAACGTTTCTTGAGATAGACTAGAGTAGTGGGATTAAACGAGATATTCTACAGTAAAGAGAGGATTTGAGAAAAATGACACTTGTACAGAGATTTTGAAGTCTCTCAAATTTATCTAATTGGTCCATTGAGATCGAGATAACCGACGACGTACGCATAGTCAATACGAGGAAGAAGAATCGGGTTCAGTTTTAGGAGAAGGTTTAAGGAAATTACGTGGTCATCTGAGAGAACCCGCAGAGGTAAATTTTTTGCGTCAGATGTTCTTTATCTGGGCATTCCGTAAAAAGGCTTTGTCTATATGTATCCCTGAATTCTTTACGTGACTGCTTAAATTGAAAGTAACTTCAAAAGCTACGTGTGGGTTGCCAAACCATTGATTTCAGTATTTGTCGTTTTAAGTTTAAGTCTGGAGCTCCCAACATGCTGTATGCATGTAACAGCAGAATATATTAGTTTTTGCATTGCTGCAGTTTGTTTTTGACAGTACTTATCGCTGTTCTATTTCATCAAGCAATAGCACCATATGTGTCTCCGTATAACTGAATTGTACACGCTTATTGTGATTTTTAGTGACCAACGCAGAAAATAATATCTACACTTTATTTAGTTATGCGTCAAGATGTGATATTTCATGAGCTTTAGATACACTCCATGACATTAAACCCCTGATGTGGACTAGACTAATGAATAGCATTGAATTTTGATCTGTTCTATTACCTTTAATCCGATAGTTTATTAGTACTTCGCCAGTTTAAGAACTAGGTAACTAAAGTTAAGTAAGTAAGTAATCAACTAAAGTTAAGTAAGATAGTACACTAAAATAATTTAGATTTTTCACTTACTGATTACTAAAAAAAGTGTACACAACGTTAATTCTCTGAACATTTTTAAAAATAAATTTGTGATAAAATTATTAACTTTCTTATCTTTTAATTAAAGTGCTTACATAAGGAGGATATAATAAAATTAATTGAATTTTCTGTTATGGTGATGTGCCTATTGCCAGTCTCTCAAAATTTAATGTTTAATATTTGCTCGTCTATCTAAAAGGTCAGACACACTTGTTGAGTGAATTTTATTTTAATATAGTGTATTCAAGTGCATAAGCTATTATATTAAATGTCCAGGCAGTTTGAAAATCATCCAATACGCGTGGACAAGACGTTGAAAACTTTTAGGTAGCTAATTAAATTTCGCAAACGCGCTGTCGGCGCCGTTCTGCCTAGCCTCGAAGCTTGGGTAGGTAGGGAGGGAGGCCGCGTCACCTACCGACTGACGCAGGTACTCCTCCCCGCCAGCAATCATTGCTGCCATGATGGCGGGTGAGGAGGGCTGGAGCGCCGTGGTCTCTTTCTGTGAAGCTGTAATGCTCCAGAACGGGATCGGAAGAGGGCCGATCCCGAGCCAAGAGGACGTCGGCGGCGATACAAGCTGTCAACGGGGCCGCAGGCTGCCAGAGGGAGGGGGTGGCAGATTAACTGCTGCGGTATTTTTGCTGTGCGCCGATAGGCGGGGGAACTCCGGTTCGGGCACTCCTCGGAGTAAGGCGCGTGAGTCCGGCCGTCGGGGTGGTTTTTAGTGGAAACACCTCATACTCCTAGCTTCTACATCCCCAAGGAGCCGGAGATCCGAAGGGATTTTAAACCCCGTCACAAAAAAAGGTAGTTTATTAAATTGACTAGGATTTTTGAATGTTGTTGAACACCTGTTTGGCCGTGTAATAAAAATGATTTATTCTATTTCAAAGTAATACATGGTATTAAGCATTATTTAAGTAAATCATAATAATATTTATTAGCATTCCAGTTACACGTCAATACAATATCAGTAAAAGCTGCACTAGGCGAAGACTATCGCGGCTTTCGAATAAAGCGATTTTTCAGTAGGACAATTTATACATAAATAAATAATAATATAGTACCTAACAATATTTTGATTACAAACAACATGAACATTGTAATCTTGCAGTCGGACCCCGTACTATTAAGCAATATTTCAGGAACTCCAAGTAATATTTCAGGAACAAATTATACGCAGACATGTCTTAGGGTGCACAAATTAGATTCTTAGTAGAAACTTGAGCAGGAGCACAATATACGTAGTACATATTACCAGTACCTACAGAAGACTAACTCGGAACTCCGCCAATTTTTTAAAATAAACGGCAATTTTTGCTGCGACTCAACAAATTGCACAGATCGTACAGCGCTCTAATTCCCTACAGTTATATTCACATAGAAGTTGCCTTTCTTTGTATTGCCTTTACACTTATTTTTCTTTGGGCCTGGCCCGGTAGAGCGTTTTAATAAGTATATTAAACGTTAAAATAAGATGTGTACTATGTAATACACACGCGACAATTCCGTAACATTTTGTAAATTAATAATCAAGTTTAAAAAACGGTTTACCGATACAACAGTATTTTTTGCTCGATTATTATAAAAGGTTTTATTACGCTAATATTTAAAGGCGGTGCGTAGTAATAATAAAATTGGTTTCAGAAAGATCAAAAAAACTAAAAAATAACCTTAACGTTAATTTAGATTAATGAAAAAATTTATTGAAGCTACAAAACAAAAACAGATGTAAAACCTTTTAATCATTTATTTGCCTCAATAAGCTTATTAGGTAGTACGAGTAAGTGTGATAGTAATATATGGCAGAAAAAGTAGTTGGAAATAATATTTTCGTTAGCAGCACGACAAAAAATATAGTCATCAGTCTCTATTGCTCTCTAGTAATGATTGCTTAAATTCCTGTCAATAACTTTATTGTTAAATAAATATCATATCTTAGCTAAGTATTAAAAAAAACGCCGTTTTTTAAATACAAAATGCACTTGCCACTTGTTCTATAATGATTAACATACATAAAATAAACCTCCTTCGAAATTTGGGTCATTAGCTACTCTAAATTTGTTTTCTATCAATAAATTACCTAAAACTAGAAAATGTACTAAACTTGGGACTTTTATTGAATAGAGAACATGCAATTTTTTATTTATTCTTTATTTTTAAACAATTCCGTGCAGAATACAACACAGCCTCCTTCGTTATTTCGTTGGCTTTCATAGTTTTGCATACCGACCTTAGGGTAGGATGGCCGGCCGGGGCTCCGGGGCACAAGGGCATAGCACACCTAACTAAGAAATCATTAAAGGGGATGAACGATATCTAAAATTAATCACAATAATTATAGTTCAACACCGAGGTAAATATTTGGTCAATTATTTCTTCGCGAACAAAATTTGGTGAGACACATCAGGGCATAGCATCATAAGCGTCTTGAACGTCTCAGCTGCAGTTTCGAGGGAAGGGAGAGGGATCGGTATATTGTTAAAAATATCGATTGCCATTGTACAAGTAAACCCCATAGCTAGCAATTTATCACTTCAGTAAACGGCTGATTATGAAAAATCCCTGTATCTTTTAAAATTATGTTACAGAACACGGGGCTAACGCAACTAGGTATATAAGAGGATGTCATATGTCATATAAATCAACATGTTGTCGTCTGTTGATTGTTGTTTTCCTTTCGAGCTATTGGATTAGCTATTGGCCATGAAATGAAATCATTCTTCGTCCGTAGGAGGCTACCGCAAGTTTCACGAAAATTTATGATACCTACAAGTTTCTGATGCATTCCATCAATTATCGCTTGAGATGAATTTGGTCATTTAAATCTGTTACTGGCTGATTGTATTAAGTACTTTCTAAATTAACCTAATCTGGTCGAAACTTCAGTCAGATCAAAACTATTTTATCGTTAATTTCCGTAATGTACATTTTTAAAATAAATAAAAACACTAAAATTCAGTATATCTTTAGTAAACTTAATTAGTAATTATTTTTTAACTACAAATGTTGAATTGACAGTAGTGCCACTTAAGGGTAATTTTTTTGAAATTTATTTATATTTTTGTCATTGTCACATTTGAATTGGTAAAATAGTGTTTCACATTAAAAAAGATCAATATCATAGGGTCAATCTTACCTATCGTTTGAAATATTCACACCTCTACAATTTTTTATCGATTTTGAATCGATCCACAAACAAATCAAGTTATGAAAGATCGATTTCCTAAAAATCCAATCGCCAATCCCTTCCACCCCTGCAGATGAGCGATGATTCGTTGCCCTATGACGCCAAGGAGAAAGCCGATCTCCTAGGCGAACTCTTTGCGTCCAACTCGACTTTGGATGACGGAGGAAACGTATCGCCGACCATACCGCAGTGCCAGTATCGTGCTGAAGACGTGTGCTCCAGAATTAGCACCGGTTTTAACTCGCCTTCTTCGACTCTCCTACTCCCTAGGCGTGACCGCTCTGATCCGTCCAACTACAGGCCCGTAACTCCCATATTCTCAAGGTTATGGAATCCTTAATCAACTGCCAGCTCCTCCGGTACTTGGAAAATCACCAGCTACTCAATGACCGACAATATGGTTTTCGCCGGGGTCGCTCAGCTGGTGATCTTCTTGTTTATCTAACACACCGGTGGGCACAGGCGATCGAGACCTAGCGAAAGCCTTCCGATAAATTATGTAACTGGGTCACCAGTTTCCTTGCAGGTAGAAATCATTAAGGTCGTTATCGACGGTGCATACTCCGACTTGAAGTCAGTAAATGCTGGTGTCCCGCAAGGCTGTGTGCTATCACAGTTTGAAGCAATCTTTGCTTCATCACGTAAAAACTATCAGAGTAAACAAACGCTTTCATTCGTGATTCACAATGAAAAATAATTATTAAATTCAACTGAATTAATGATTGAATCATGAACGAACTATTCGCTTGCGATAGTCTATAATTCCCAAAACCTATATAGACTATAATGCTTTAATTTTGATGTGAAGTTCAAAAGTCAATACAGGAAATTCCCTGCGTCCATAGACAAACGAAAATTTGTGGCAATCGTTGAAAAACAAAAATCTACTAAAAGTACTAGCTCAATTCTGAAATCTACCAAAAAAATACTAATAATTTTTTTTTCTACTGATGAAAGGCCATAATCTACCGAAAAAGTAGAAATCAACTTTATATGGTCACGCTGTTCCTCTACACTACGCTACGTATAATCTATATTGAGTACATTCAACTTCAACTAGCTGTGAATAATTATTTGACTTTTAAAACAGTCGATTTGCTAGATAGAAATATCGATTCACCGAATTGATTCAGTGCTACAAATTGATTAACGCGATCGAAATTTTTTGACCAGAGAAATCGATTGCACGATTAATTAATCTCAGATGCCATCCCTAATCTATTATTTATTATCTATGTATTCAATCAGAGACAGAATGAAACAGACTGATTGTTTTGATTGATTGTATTGGCACAATCAATTTTGATTTCGTGTTTTTATTAAAAGAGGTTAAAGAATTTGTTGATGCAATTAGTGATGCGCAAAATGTATCACTGAGCTGAAAAGATTGATACAAATCATTTCGCTCTAAAGATATATATCACTCATCTAGCTCACTAGCTCATTTAGCTCACTAACTCCTTTAGCTCACTAGCTCATTGATCCGATTCAATTGATTGGTCTCTCAATTAATTCATTTCTTTATCTAGATCGTTTAGCTCAGTATACTCGTATATCACTTTCTCGCCTTACAAATCCTTATTTATTTTCTTATAAACCTAAATTCAGTTTTTGAAACTACATTTTTAACCTATTTTTTTTAATATAAAATTATTCATTTTGATAAGATAAAATAATTATTAACAGCCTTTTATATAATAATTAAAATTAAGAAATTATTTCTTGTACTTTTTTTTAGGTTTTATAATAGAAATCATACATAATTTTATTTTCCTTGTACTTGTCAGGCTTAATTATTAAGTAATTTTAAACTTTGATCCTATAAAAATAATGTACATTTTGCATAAAGAAACTTGCGTGAACTCAACCATCATCTATCTCACTCATTTATCTTTAGTCTCACTCGCTCATGAAACAAAGATTGGCGTCGTTGAGCTAGTGATCTAGTGATCTAGTGAGCTAGTAGTGAGTTACTGATATATTCGGAGCAAGTGTGAGTGAGTGATAGATTTTATCGTCGTGAATGATATATATCTTTTATATCACTCACTCAGGAGCTACACAACTCTAGATGCAATATCGTTAATATAAAATATTCGTTATGGCCGGCATGACCGGGTTGCAAGCTGCAAACGCTGCACCTATCACGGCCACAGACAGTTTAACACAAGCACTTAAAGCTAACATAATCCCTAACCAAGAATACTTATTACAGGTTATTAGTATTAAAGAGTTATTATTAAATAACATAGTTTAAACAAGTTTAAATGTGTAAAGTAAGTAGTTTATAATCTTGACTTCCAGGGTTCTGTACTGGATTCGGCAGTCGAAGTCCTTCTTCATCGCCTCCGTGGTTTATGTGACAATGTTGACGCTGGACCAGAGACATTTGACGACCAAGAAGTCTGTTTTAGCTTGCGAGATCCTAATCAGCAGGTTAGCTGTAAATTTCGTTATTATTTTTGGTTAATCAATAATAACTTAAACTGTTTAATTAGAATTTTAAATTGTTTCCTCTAATAGTATGTTTTAATTATTCACAATTTCAGGCAGCGCCATTAATGCTGCGTGTGAGAAAAGCCCTGGATGCTCGTGATATGCCATTCCAACTCAGATATATTGGCCAGCCAGACCTAGGAGACAAGAACCGTCCCACAGTAGTCAGGTCTAGCCTCGACATAGCCTGCAGTGGCATGCTCATTGAGTTTCTCAATGAACTTGGCTGTCGGATAGAATTTGAATACAGTGTCAAAGGTAATGTTGTATCTAGAAATATTTCTATAACTGATTGTTCATTGTATAATATGCTTTCACCGGTAAACACTGTACAGTGTAGCGGCATGTGAGGAGTTAAGTAAGTAAAAATGCTGAATGACAAACTGACAAATATAAAGAAAAAATTAGAGTAACCCTCAGTGAATGGCATGAGTACTCAATTTTAGTTAATTAACTTAGCTTTTGACTGTGGCATTACTTTTTAAATTTTCTTAATCAAGTTAGGTATTTCTTAGAAACAGCTCTTTTTTTCTGGTTAAAAGGTATCCTATGTCCTTTTTATTATATTATGATTGGTTGATAATATCCTGTATCAACTTGAATTTAATTAAAATGAGTGTGGCACAAATTGCCTAATTCTTTTAATTTCTTCACATTTCAGCTTTACTTTGAGTAATTTAAATGGAGAAATATGAGTGATGTAGGATCATCTACAGTTATTGAAAAAAAAAGAACTGTGCATATTTTCTTTTACTTTACAGGTTACATGTTCAGAAAAGGACGCATGAAGATAACAGTAGCAAAGGTGTTTAAGATATCCCAAGGTTCAATGCCTCCAGAGCCTATATCACAGAGTTATCTTGTAGAATTATCCGTAAGTAAGACACCTCCTTCCTAAGGAGATGTCCTATGTTCCTATGTCCAGCAGTGGACTAGTAAAGGCTGTTGATGTGATGTAATATGAAGACATCCTATATATTAATGTTTGAACATTTTGAAAACAAAGATCCTGATTGTAATATAAAGGTTGGAAAAACGCCACGAACAAATGAGTACTTCCACTACCATGATATAGATATAATGTATATCAAGATTTAATTATTATTTTTATCTATAATTACCTTAATAAAAAAAGTTGCATAAATAATGTACTAAAATATTTTAGTACTGAGTAAGATACTGCAACATACCTAATACATATAGGTATATTACAAAAATTACACACACATTAATAAGTCCCAGTACACATTTAATAATAAGTCTCCATATCTCTGTCATAGTGACACGTGAACTAAAGTATTTAGAACCATTTAGATCTACATATTTGTATGCTATACAATAAGACGTTTTAAAAAATCATGAAAGATTTTCATGTTAATTCACAAAATTTTCCTTATAATACTAGACAACTTAAACACTATCTTATCTTATAAAAGTAGATGGATCCTACAGGATTATAGAGAAATAATTTTAGGAGTATAGTGATCTGCAGTACCTTATTATGTGGTTTATATTTTTCAGGTATTAGCTCCCCAAGGTCAAGACGCTATTGCAGAGGATATGCGTGCTTTCGCCGATCAGCTGCGCCCCCTTGTACAATTAGACAAAATTGACTACAAACGTCTTGGCCACATGACTGGCGCCTAGCCCTGTCTTTATACGATTGAATCTCAATACAATTCTCAGGCTCAGGCACAATTGTTGTAACAAAAGGACATTAATTTCAAGTGATTTACACATTCTATATAGTGGAATTATCCTATAGGTCACTCGCGTTAAGAAAACAGTGATGCATTGATCCCTGACCAATCAGGTTCCAAACTTTCGTACGAAACGATAATTTCTTCTAACCGTATTGGTACTATAAGCCAAAACTGAAAAACGCATGCTTATTGCGTACTTATCAATAATTATTATACATTTTCAGAAAAACTTGTAATATTTATTGCTGTAGCCATCGTAATAAATATGATTTGTTGGATAGCTATAGCATTGGGGCTTGGAACTAAGATACTGCTTATTTAAACTCAACCCAGCCTGCCACTGTGGGGTGGGTTGATAAGAATACAAGTAATCGCTTTATTAAAAGTGTGTAAAAAGTCACCTTAATATTTTTTATTTATTTTTATGTGGTAATAAAACATATGAACATAAACTAATGTAGAAAAATATTATATTCCTATCAGTATCGTAATTTTATATATATGTCTCCATTTTTCGCAATCTTGTCATTTTAAAAGAGAGCCAACACAAGAAAAAGCCTAAGCTCAAGCTGAATAAACGCACTTTTCCTATTCCACTTAAACCTTTGACTGCCATCGCCGAATTATTACGGGTTTTAATGATGTTACACCATGTGCCACCCACGTTATATTGCGTAATAATCACATTACTAAAAAAATGCAGTGTTAAACAGACTTTATTTGATAATTTATTACTACTAGTTAACATTTGACCATAATTTATGCATAAATTTTGTGAACAATTATATGAATAATATGAAAATATTGTGTACAAATAGTTTTATATATATAATAAGATATATATATATAAGAATAGTTTTACACTTTTCCTATCCTAATAACTATGTAAAACCAATGGCCTTCCGATGACTTGTCACTGATACAAATGTTGTCGATGTCTTTGTAACAGTTTGGTAAACGGTACATTTTAAATTTGTAAGAAAATGATATATTTAATTTCCCAGGTATGGTAATGTTGTTGGTATAACAATTGATGACCTATACTGCTATATCGACAGTCTATTGACACTGAATTTATGTTAGTAGAATACTGATATTTTGACCGATGGCGTTAACATAAAATAGCAGAATTGAGGCCCAGTGCTGTTTTAATATCGGGCAATTATCGTTAATATTTAACAATGAAGAACTCTTAGATATTTTAGAATCTAATAATGATATTATTAATAGTGGCTACTCATTATCTGACAGTGATCCTGTATCGATAAGTTTTGTTTTTCGATAGTACTAACGTTTTTGCTTGTTTTGTCGTTTATTACGCACAATTCCAAAATAAATAGAATTCTTCATCATTTCACCAAATGTTACCATTTTTTTTTTTTTTTTTTTTTTTTTTAAGACTGCTCCCGCATTGGGAATATATCCTGTGTCGCGGGGGACTTTACAAACATACATGAAACGGACACAAAGAACACCCAGACTCAGAACAACAATTTGTGGATCACACAAAGTGTCGTCCCATGTGGGGTTTGAACCCACAACACTCGGCGCAGTAGGAAGCGGCGTGGCGACCACTTAAACCACTGCGCCATCTGTGCAGTCAAACTATGTACTGTACTGTAACTAGTATGACAGTCATAATCTATATTAATATTATAAAGAAAGTTTGTTTTCTATGAGTAAATTTCTTTCTAGATCCATCAATTTTGCTGCATTAATCGCATTTGAAATGGAATCCATACCACCAGATCATGGATCGCAAGTATACAATATGAACATTATTAATTTAATACGTAATGTTAGTGAAGGAGGTATAAGTCCGTGTCCATCTCCAGGAGGTATAAACCGTGTCCATCTCCACAGTTTTTTGTTGACATTAAAAGCTGATTATTATTAATTGCTTAGTTGTAAATACTTAATATAAACGGTTTGAATTTGATTTCTTTTATCAAGTAATCGATAACTATGTTTTACAATACTACGGCAAATTATACCTAAAGTCTGCTAGCGCTGGCTGGGGGTGCGTTACGTGTGCGTTACCCCAGCAAAATAATGTCGAAAATGGTCATTTAAACTTTATAGATAATTAGTTGCTCCCCTTCTGTAATTGTTAGGCACATTTTTAAATTTGTTTCACTTAAACTTTTTTAGTTATTTCAAAAAAACATTTCCTGCTGGGGTAACGTTTGAAACGTTACCGCAGCCAGACATTTTCTTTTTTAATTGTAATATTGAAATAAATTTTAGCTAGAGAATTAGTTATCTGGACTAGGTAAATGTTACAACTTATTTGGTATTTGTATTTTCTTCGGCTGCGAAGTTATTCGAAATCCTGCTGGAGTAACGTTTGTGGGTTTGCTGGATCTCTGAAACGGGTAAGCGGATTGTAACTATCTTTTGTACATAACTTCTTAAGGATTAATTTTAATTTGTTCGACAATAAAATCACAAAAATAATGGACCGTTTAAAAATTATTTAGGTAAGTATGAAAACACTTCAATACGTCCTAACACTTTAAATAAGACCTCTAAAGACTTACTTCAAACGTTATTCTATTGCTTGAAACTACCTTCAAATGTATACGAATTTTCGTAAGAATACTATAAGTGACTAAAAAGTTATGATGAAATGTAGCTCTCCACGTTCACGATCACAATGTGTGCGGCCTTTTTTGGCCACCGATAAACCTGTGTGTGGATATATAAACTGAATGTTATGCTAATAATTAGTTGTTTAGTTCAGTTGTCTACCTGTAGAATTTCAGAGTCGTACATATAATATTTTACGAGATAATTAAATAAAAGTCATTAGAAGGTGCAAGTCCGTGGTAATCCGACCATGTTTAGGTGGTTACAAAAAAGCGATCACCCAGTACATTGAGCTGTCTTTTAAAATGTTTAGTGTAATACACCTTACGATTTCGGTACAGTTGCGTACAGTGTTAAATACATTCAATATTTATTACCTATTATTTATTTTGTTTTTTTTCCCTAATTGATCTTAAGCACTAGTTTCTTTACTTAAAATTTCTTTAGTCTTTTTTACTACCGGAGCTACAATCAGCAGAAAATCTGCACTGGTCCGCTAAAATTATAAATATGTAAATACATGTATGAACGATTCACCTGACTGCAATAAATCGAAAATTTAAACCAATAAGAAATCGTTTCATTTCTTTGATTTTTTTTGTAAAGAAATAACACTAAAGTAATTGTATTTTATTTTGGGGTGTATAGAGCTTAGACTTGAATGCATCAAAATATTTAAAGCAACAAGTCATCTACAATAAGTTAAAATAGACCGAATAGTAGAAGAATACAGTTGTAAATTAGAATGCATCAACATTGCATCGTCCAACAGTCGTATACCTTGTAAGAGTAGGTAATATTGTTCTGTGGTCTATACCGAGAACCGAGAATTATCTATACCTATGTACCTACCGTTAAGCGTTGAGCCCGTGACTGTTGATTTCTGTTAAAAACGAACAGTTGTTGAATGATATTTTGATACAATAACGGTAATTTAATTAATCGAGTGAAAGTGATACATCTTTATAGATAAAATTATTGGTCAGATAATATTTGTCAATCAAGAATCGCTGATAATACATCCTTCGCTAGAACGCGGGAGGGGAGGGGCGAAGGGATACTTCATTGTTTGCAATTTGCATCTAGTGCACTAAACTTGACCCTTAGGCAGATAATATACGTGTTGTAAAGTACGTGTGCGCTTCCGCTTTCTATTTTTGCAAATATTTATCGTATTCTTGAGAGTTCTTCAATATGTGTGTACCTAATTACTAATAATGGGCATTAATGCTAATTCGATTCAATTTAAGTACCTAATTGTCAATTCTTGTCTTAGGATATTAATTACTAATGCTAATATTGAAATTTCGTTCAGGGTGAACAAATTAAAAACGATCATAACTTGTAGGTAGGTATATCACTTATTACTAATTTTACATAAATAAATTATTTTATTATAATTTAACTCACCGCGATTTTGTGATCAAATATTTTATTTTTTCCAAAATTATTACAGAAATATTGCAATACAGAGTTTGTTCGCGATATGCTAGCCTAAGTCGATTCATCACTTAAAAAAATCCCCATCTATTCACAAAATACCTATTTACAACGCATACGTCACACTCTTCAAAACTTAAATTACCTATACCTACCCTAAAATTAAACTTCAATTAACAAATACTACGCAGGTACCAATTCTATCAACACCTATAAACAATTCACCTAAACATTACGAGAAAACAAAAGCATTCAAAACAATACCTAATCTCCCGGCTGATTACTAATTATGCAATAAACAATCCTAAATAAAAATTATTTATATCCGTAGTAAACTTGCAAGTAATATCCTACATATTTTAAAAGCCAGCACAATGTACTGTGTGATCGCTTTTTTGTAACCACCTAAACATGGTCGGGTTACCACGGTCTTGCACCTTCAAATGACTTTTATTTAATTATCTCGTAAATTATTATATGTACTACGCTGAAATTTTACAGGTAGACAACTGAACTAAACAACTAATTATTGGCATAACATTCAGTTTATATATCCACACACAGGTTTATCGGTGGCCAAAAAAGGCCGCACACATTGTGATCGTGAACGTGGAGAGCTACATTTCTTCATAACTTTTTAGTCACTAACAGTATTCTTACGAAAATTCGTATACATTTGAAGTTAGTTACAAGCAATAGAATAACGTTTGAAGTAAGTCTTTAGAGGTCTTATTTAAAGTGTTAGGACGTATTGAAGTGTTTTCATACTTACCTAAATAATTTTTAAACGGTCCATTATTTTTGTGATTTTATTGTCGAACAAATTAAAACTAATCCTTAAGAAGTTATTTACAAAAGATGGTTGCAATCCGCTTACCCGTTTCAGAGATCCAGCAAACCCACAAACGTTACTCC